AAAATCGTTAAATTTACTAAAATGAACATATCGTCCCCAAATTCACGAAGTGGCGTATATGAAGATTTAAGTTATACAAAAAAGCAATTTTCTGAAATAAACGTTTAGCATTTTAAACGTTTATTCCAGAAAATTGTTTTTTTTTGCATAACACAAAACTTCAAACACCCGTATCGGAAGATTTGTGTTATGCAAAAAAGCAAATTTCTGGAATAAGTGTTTATTATGCTAAACTTTTATTTCAAAAAATTGCTTTTTTGCATAACTTAAATCTTCATATACGCCACTTCTTGAATTTGGTGACGATATAGTTCAGTATTATTATACTCACAATTAAACGCCTCCTTATGAAACGAACCCAATTCAAAAAGCAGATGTTTTGGTGAGTGGACGCAAATTTTAAAATTTTTAACAATTCTGGCCATTAAGAATTTTTTTTTAATCTCGGAAAATTAAAAAAAAATTAAATTTCACAATTTTTGAAAGTTATTTTTTACTTTTATATTGCTGTGCGAGTTTTTCCACATTTTTTAAAATTTATCCCACTGTGCTAATTCGTCCTTCCATTTTTTAAATTCATCCCACTGTACGAGTCTGTTACAGGTATCTGTAATTTGTACTTTGGATGCTACGTACTAGATGGCGAGTTAAAATAGTACTGTCACATACTTCCTGGAAGTATGTGAGTACTGTTGGGTGATGTCTCTGCGACCTCATGCTCTTCTGATACTTAAAAACGTTTAAAACTATGGCATTTTAACATTTATTAAATATTTTTTTAATTTAAAATTTTATTGATTTAAAATATTCCCAACTAAAAATTTTGGTTTACATTTAAATTATTTAAAAGACGAAATTTACTAACTAACATACTTCGGTATTAAACAATATTATTTTCAATCAATTTTTGCAAAAATTTCTAACTATCATTTTGTAATAAAAATAATTTCTTAAGTAGGTATAATTTATTTGGGCAGAATTTTGTAAATCTTAAATAAATATTTTAAAAATTATTTAGATTAAATTGGTAAAGTTAATTTTTTTATTATTTAAAAATAGTATCGAGACAAAATAAAAACACATTTTCTACCAAAATATTTTTAAAAGTTATTTTTTTTAAACTCAAAACAATTGATAATTTAATATAAAATGCAACTGTAAAAGTTTAAGTTTAAAAATGTTGATTTTTAAAAATTTTAGTTTTAATATTTTATTCTACAAAATTATTGGTTTAAATTTGCAAAGTCATTTAAATGTTAGTTTTAAATTTTAAAGTGGCCATTTTTGGATTAAAAATGTTTCGACTATCATTTAAATGACCCTCGAGAAATTTAAACTCATAAATTTAATTTTTAACAATTTTAAATTGATACATTTTTAATTCACAAGGTGTAAACGCTGCTTTAGCTGACTGCATATGGACCACAGACCACCAAAACTGTTTGTTTTGGTGGTCTGTGATATGGACTATGCTTAAAACTGACCACATTAGAAAGAGACAGCGTACGCCGTCTGCTAAAGCTAGGTTTACACTTCTTACATTACATTTAAATGTGAAGTTATTAAGTCTGATTTATAGATTGCCTTCCTTCCTTTCTTTCTCCCGTAAAAGATGAACAATGCGAAAATCGTAGTGCCATTTATAGATTCCTGTACGGGGCTTTAATTGTGTGTTAAAAATGTAAAAATAAAAAAAATCGTTTAAATTTCGAAGGATTCATTTAAATGATGGTCGATAAATTTTGTATCCAAAAATTACCACTTTATATTTAAAACTTACATTTAAATGATGTCAGAATTTTTGTATTAAAAATGTATTGACTATCGTTTAAATGAGCTTTAAAAATTTAATTTACAAATACAATTTTAATTAGGGATAGAACGATACCGATATTGATATAGGTATATCGGCATATCGGCAATTGTTTCCGATTATCGGTATCGTATCGGCCAGATAATTGCGCTTTTCACTCTTCAGTGCATAAATGAAATACTTTATTAAACAAAATAAAAAATTTTATTCTAAAGGTAACATTTTTACTAAAAAAGTAAAACAAATCCTAACACCACTTACAACAAATATACCTAATGTAGCAGGTACTAAATACAGTATATACTTAATACTGTCGTAGGGAAATGTGTATAGTTTTTAAGAAATACATTTTCGCCATTAACTGGAATTTAATGGATTTTAAACAATACTTAGTTTTTATTTGCAGAAATGCATTAAAACAAAACAAACGAATTCGATAAAAATAAAACCTATAAATTCTCAATCCCTACCACAGTGGGCGGGGTTTGGCACTTGTTTTATTTAAGTGTATCTATTCGTTTTAATACACACTGTATAAGGGGCTTCCCAGAAATAGATGGCATTATGCTTGCCGATACGATATATCGGTATATCGGCACGTAAATATCGGTATCGGCCGATATATCGTATCGGCAAAAAAAAAGTGATATCGTTCTATCCCTAATTTTAATTGTGTTGAATAAAATATTAGAACTACATTTTTTTTAAATCAATATATTTTAAACTTGCCAAAACGGCGTGCCAAATAAAATCTATCTTCGATTCAAAACACCAACGTGACACACCGCTGGTATGACGTATGACGGAACTGTCTGATGTCAAGTCCCCATCTCGAAGTCTAACATAGCTTCAAAAACTTAATTGCCTTAAAAAATTAGATACCCACTTTCTTTATTGGGACGGCAGATTACTTTATTTGTTTTTAGTCTTTGGGTACTTTAAATTTGATAGGTCTATAGACTATACATAAAACTAGAGCTTTAACGATTTCATGAATTTATATCCAAATCAAACAAAGAATGGCCTCTTTCATTATTACTTCGCGTAGGTACTTACGATGTTATCGTAAACCGGGACGGGCCCGTTAATTTTTAATCGCTCCAATAAATGTTTAACGTCGCGTTATTATTGTGCGGTGCGGTGCAATAGCAGACACCATAATAACACGGTCGACATTCATTTTTTATTACTTACCCTGCTCGCATGCCGTTACGCCGAGCCGAGATTAGACGGAATCGTCGAAAAATGCAGGTGTTCGGGCGCAGTTAACAACCGCCCCAATGTTATATCATTTTTAATGGAATTGGGAAAAAATTTGATTAGATTAAAAGCGATCGGAATAAATGGGTCAGTCGAATAATCATTTTATCAGAAAATAAAGTATATTAATTTTTTTTTGGTAAGGTTCCTTCTTTTGATTAAGAGTTAAGTGGGAAAATAATATTACATATCAAAATGGCATGTGTTTAAAAAAGTTGTTAAGTGGAGAATCAAAGAAAATAATAAGAATTTTTCTTGAAATGTTTAGAAAAAACCTGTATTTCCGTTTTTTTCCTGGGCCTTGAAAAACTGTATTTAAAAAAAAAATTACAACATATCCCCGAATATTGTCGATTGGGTTTAAGTCGGGGCTCTTCAGCGGCTTCAAACAAACAACGAACTACATGAGCAGTGTTTACTGGCGAGTTATACATAAAATAAAAAATATTTTTTGTGATCAGCCAAAGGTACATATATCAAAAGATATTACGTGTTGAAATATAAAATCGTTATTAAATCTTTCTTTCATTGATGGTATAGCGCTAGATTTAAAAGCCCAAATAAAAATTCAAATTAAGATTTTTGAGCTCCAGAGTATTTATTAAAATTTATTGCGCTTTAAACAATCATAGCACAATTAACAAATTTACATGTTGATTCAAACCGTGCACGGTGGTTTTAAACATGATTTATGTCTTAACTCGCCTTGAAATCCTGAAAACCGTGTAGATATAGTGGAACTTTTGTAGATACTTTTTTATTAGAATTTCTGCAAAATCGTTAAATTTACTAAAATTAACAACTCGACCAGTAATTTTTTCTTTACATAAAATGCAGATGTGTCGGTGAGGGGACGACACCACGCTGAAATATAAATATACCTGTAGCTACTTAACTTGTTCAGTATTCACCTGAAAACGACTGGAGAAACGTCGTGGTTAAAAATTGGAAGTCCAAACCTTTTTCCCGTGCTTCTGGCGTTTTTAATTTTTTTAAATTCTGAAAATTTAAAAAAATTTAAATTTCACAGTTATTAAAGATTTTAAAAATGTTGAAATTGTGTCCTATTATTTTTTACGCTTATATTGATGTTGGAGTCAAAATTTCCACGTATCGGCCTTTAACGATATGCGTTTTGTAAGTCGAGGCTTTTTAGCACTCACGCAGTTAAACAGAAGACTTTCTTGTCGTACAAGTGCATACCTTAAAAAAACAACGCAGTCTGCAACTTTGGTTTTTTAAAAGCGCAAATAAAAATTCAAATTAAGATTTTTGAGCTCTAGAGTATTTATTTTTAATGAATCCATATCAAAATCTCTTTATTAAAAATTAAAAAGAAGACTGGGCTAAAAAGTTTCTTTCTAGAACCCAGGCTTGATTTGGTCTAGAACAGTAAGGGTGGACAATTTCACTTATTGGGATTTTTATGTTGCCTTGTACAATTTCTCACCAATTATATTATTGAGTAATTTTTTAACTATTAATTAACTAATGGGAATTTATTGTTTGTTTTTTGCCTTTTGTTTTTGGGTTTACTAATTTTAAATATGTTTATTTCGATTTGAACAATATTATCAGACAATACCACGTATTTTTTCCTTGACGCTAAATATTGAAATGGTTAAAAAATAACTGATAAACATTCAAGGCTTGTTAGAAATTTTTGATAAATAACATATAAACAGCGTTAAATTTTTTTTTATACGGAACGATCAAATAACATTAATTTTTGACGGATGTAAAAATACTGTTTTTGTTTATTTCCGGTGATTTTTTTTTACGTATTTTTAAGCAAGTAAAAAGTTTGAAAGTCCAAAAAGTAATAAATTATAATTATTGATATTTTTAGTCTAGACTGTTAAATTAAAAGTAAAAATAAAATATTCATTCTTTAAAAATGCTTATTCATATTCTATCTTTATTTCAGCGAGGCGATGAGGTACAAGAAGGTCCTTTGGAAGGACGTCCGCGTTGGAGACATTATTCACCTGTCAAACAACGAGGTGGTTCCTGCAGACATCCTCCTGCTGAAATCCAGTGACCCTAGCGGAGTTTGCTACATCGACACTGGCCATCTAGATGGAGAAACCAACCTGAAACAAAGACAAGTTGCAAGAGGTTTCGTAGAAAAAGTAAGTAAACAAATATAACGGCTGTGTTTAAAATTGTGTTTATAACGGTTTTGTTTTTTAGCATAGTATATTTGAGCCGAGCAAATTTAGGAGTAGAATCGAGGTGGAAGCGCCCACCACGAAAATTTACAGGTTCCATGGTACGATAATGCACCCGAGCGACGCAAAAGTACCAGTGGGTACCGACAATATTTTGTTAAGAGAATGTCTCCTTAAAAATACCGATTACATCGAGGGAATCGTTGTTTATGCCGGTAAGAAATTAATTAAAATATTTAATTATTATATTTCAAAAAAGTAAAAGTTTGTTACTTTTCCTTTGTTGAAATATAATAATATAAATTACACCTGTTTTAAGGCAATGATATATATTTTATTTCAAAGAATATAGCAGAAAAATGTATTACTTCATTTTTCGTTTTTATGCAGTAAAACCAAATTATTGGATTTTGCTAAAGTATAAAATATAATTTATATTTATATTTTTTTATAAAGGTAATTAGTATTTTGAGCTATGATTAAAATAAGAATATTTACAAGTTATAACAATTCCATATCTGACTGTCAATTATGGTATACAGATAAAATAGTTATTTAGTTCAAACAATTTTTATATGCATCGTTTTGCGCCTTAAAAACTCAAACGACACAGTTTTTCTGACCGTACTTAAAATAAAATTAATTGCATGTATTTAGTCCAGGAAACAAAGATTGTAGAAGGAAAACTCGATGGTAGTCGGGTTTTAAAAAAGAACCCCCTGTACATTGAAAAGCAGTAACTTTTGAAAAAAGTCTAGTAGGTACCTCAAAAAATCGTCCATTCGGTTATGTTTGATTACCGTAAGGTTTGGGATCGATTACTTTTAAAATTGGACTATAATAAAAAACAAAAAAGTGATTTTGAAAGCCTTATTTAGTACATAATCAAAAGTATTAGAGGTTAATTTCTGAAAAAAAATCAACGTTAGCGAGTTATGAGCCAAAAAGCAAAAGAACTCCCCTTTCGGGGGATGAAATTAGGGGACGCGGAAAGAAATTTTTGTGGAATATTCTTGATTCATTATGAGCACCCCTGACTCTGCATGAAAAAAAATAAATCCCGACTACCATCGAGTTTTCCTTCTCAGCCATTCCACGCTTCTCGGGAATTTTTGTAGCGTCAGTTACAATAAAAAATTGTGAGTAAAACTACCGTAATTATTATGCTTATAAGTTTAAGCCTAATTATAACAAGCATATTAAACATGTTTGCAATATTAACTATTGTAACAGTATTTAATTTAATTGAATGGCTGTTCTACAACCTTTGTTTCCTGGACTAATTGTTAGATTAACGATAATAAAGGGTGTATCAATAAGAACGCAAGATTTGAATTTCACCTTAGTTTGGCAACCATGATGTCACATGATTAATGACATGATAGATTGATAGGAGACAGATGAGAGTTAGTAAATATGGAGCATTACACGATAGAACAATCCGTCCTGATTGTTAAACACTATTATCAAAATGATGAAAGTTTGATTGCCAGGATTCGTAAAGGGCGTCCAATATTTTTTCGAAATAATGTTCCTAATTCATCTACTGTGAAAAGAATAATCTAAAAAATCGAAAGCACTGCTTCGGTTAGTGATGTGAAACACACGACACGAGGTCGTAGGGGTCGTTTAGAACAAAATATCGCAGCAGTTCGCGAGAGTGGCCGAGAGTCCAGAGACGTCGATTTGCCATCGTGCACAAGAATTGGACATTACAAAAGCCACTCTTCAGCGAATTCTTACTTAAGATTTGCATCTTCATGCCAATTGACTCAACAACTCCAGCCAAAACACCATGAACAGCGAAGAGAGTTCACCAATTGGATCCTTGAGCAGCAAGAAGTAAATGCCGATTTTGCGGACAAAATCATTTTTAGTGATGAGGCCCATTTTCACCACTATTTAACACCCTTGGACTTTTGGCTGTGGGGTAATTTGAAGTCACAAGTTTATGCCAACAAGCCCGCCCCCATCGAAGCCTTAAAAGCAGAAATTAGACGCTCTATCAACGAAATACCGCCACATGTATTCAATAATGTGATTGCAAATTTTGCCAAAAGAATACGCTTGTGCCAGTTTAGCTGTGGTGGCCATTTACCAGATGTGTTATTTTATACATAATTTCCAAATGTGTACTTTATAAATCAATAAATATTTCAGTGCTTTAATACTTAAAACCATGTTTTACTAAACTTTGAAATCTTGCGCTCTTATTGATACACCCTTTATTTAAATATCAAGAAAAATATTTCACTGGGATTTAATGGACAAGTTTTACTTTTATTATTACTTTTTAATATTATTTTAGTAATATTATTACAATTTTCGTCCTATATTAGTTGGCCACCATTTAATTGCGTCAGTATTTCCAGGTTTTCTTCCATTTTTGCGTTCTATGGCGACAAAGTTGGTTGATTTTTGTAATCGTATGATATTTCTAATAGTATACTGAGATACATTTTTAACTTTGAATTTTATTATTAAGATAAATTGTAAAATTTAAAAAATTCTAATATTTTTAAAAACAATCTCGTTTTTAACTTCATTTTTATTATTTTTTACTATTATGGATATTTTAATTAATTGAGATTAAACTGTCAAAGTTTATTTGTTACTATGGTAACTGCCTTTAGTTGTATTGCTAAATCTGCTTTGTATCGTATGAGTATAAGTTTGTATAAATTATGGAATGTTAATTTCTGCTAGCAAAAACAAAAATAATTTGTTTTTTTAAATATAATTGTAAACTGACTGTTTGTAAATAATAAACAATGTTATAGTTACATTTTGTATTGTTGGTTGCGTTTCCATTAGAAAATATAACTTTTTCTAGTAGCTGGGCCAACTTATATAGGACAGGGCTCGTACATTAAATTTAATTTTGGTGTAAGATTACTCTAGAAAACCTCGTAAATTATGGTAGTGTTGAAATACAGGGTTTTGTGCTTTTCCTATTATTTTTTATAAATTATGCTATTGAAACAATATTTAAAAAAATATATCTTGTGATAAGTGTAAAAGTAATATACAGGGTGTCCCATAATTAACGTGCAATAATTTAATAGCAGATTCTACGTACAAAAATAAGAAAAAAAAATCCTATAAACATAGGTCGAGAAATGCTTCCTAAATCCTCCGAAAGGGGTTTATATTTAATATCTCCAATACCTTTAAAAATAAAAACGTAAAATTTTGGAAATTGATCAAACTTTTTAATGGCCAATAAGATGTAATAATAACAATTCCAAATTTTCTATGAGGGGTAAGTCAGATAAATAGGGAATTATGGTAAAACTACCCTAACTTTTTCGTACTTGTCTTTTACCAGGATTTGATGTAAGATTATTATAAAAATGTTGGAATATTGTGCAACAACAATAGTCAACGTTTATAAAATAGGAAATAAACCACATGGCAAGCGAGTGAAACATTTACGGCATTCGTACCCTTGACTTTAAAATATACTACGAGGCAGAGTCAGTCCGAAACCACCCTCAGCGAAATATAGTCGTCACAGATGTTATTTGTATTTATCTCTAAAAGTTATTTGTTACCTACTTATCAATAAAGTGTACCTACTTAGTTATCTCGTTCTTAAATACAATTGTGCTTTTTATTGACCATTCACATAATTACGCAAACACCTATTGAAGTCATTAAATAAAGTCCAACAGGTTATGGGCCCAGTTAATCTATGTGAGTGAGTTCGGAGTTTAAAGACAATACAGGAATAAAGTTTTTACAAATAGTGTGCTGCAGCAAAAGTGAGAGAACAATCAAGGTTCGAAAATGTCGGGCGGTTCGCGTTTTTTGTACGGTATCGCGAAATTGAACAGTTCCAATTATCAAATTTGGAAGTATAAGGTCGAATTTTTGCTGATCAGTGAGGGGATATGGGACGTGATCGCTGAGCCAAGGCCAGGTGTTCCAGACGAAGCCTGGATTAGAAAGGATGATCAAGCTAGAGCAGCAATCGGACTCCTTGTCGAAGATAGCCAGTTAATCCACATTAGACAAGCAAAAAATGCTCTCGACGCTTGGAATTCATTAAGGGACATCCACCAGAAGGGATCGCTATCCACCAAAGTTTTCTTGTTAAAGCGGATATGCAGATTAACTCTAGAAGAAGGCGGTAATATGGAACTCCATATAAACCTAATGATGGAGTTGGTGGATAAATTATCGGCCATGGGGGAGGTGCTAAATAATCAGTTAATTGTTGCTATGCTATTAAGTAGTCTGCCGGATTCTTATGGCACGCTAATTACTGCACTGGAAAGCAGGGATGAGAAGGAGTTAACAATGGAACTAGTGAAAGCAAAATTATTAGACGAATATGGTCGACGTAAAGGTGTATCAAAAACAAGGGATGAAGAAAGTGACACGGCAATGAGGGCGTCGGCTTCTCATTATCATAAAGGGCAACCCGGGCATTCAGGAAATTCGGCGAACTTGGTAAAGAAAAAGCAGTGCTATTTTTGTAAAGAACCTGGTCATTACAAAAAGTTTTGTCGAAAATATCAAGCTTGGAAGTGCAATAAAGAAAGGGCAAATGCAGTTACAGATGGTTATTCTGAAAATCAAGTGGATGAGACCTGTTTTATGAAACAAACAAATGTGGAGACAGATTTATGTCATGAAGTGAGTGTTTGTTTTGGCCTGCAAATAAGACAACAAAAGGACGTTTGGGTAATCGACTCGGGGGCGACAAGTCATATGATTAATAACAAGGATTTCTTTAAGGAATTTCATCGAAACACGAACGGAAATGTACGGCTAGCAAATGGTCAAAAGGCTGAAATTAAAGGGACCGGGTCGGGTGTTGTAAAGTTTGTCAATGGGGCCAATAAGGACATTAATATAAAGATTGACAACGTTTTGTTTGTGCCAAACTTGGAAGTTAATTTACTTTCGGTGCGGAAATTAACAGCTAAAGGTTTTAAAGTGCTGTTTAAGGACAACGTGTGCGATATTGTGGAAGGACAAAAAGTGCGGGCAACGGCCAAACAGGTAGCCGGACTTTATGAGCTTCAAACGGTACCGGTGCAAGCAGACAATAAAGCGTGTATAGCAATAAAGGGCGGTCATAGTACACAGTGTCAGCACATGTGGCATAGACGTTTCGGGCATCGCGAAGTGGCAGCAATTAAAGACTTACAAAACAAAGGACTAGCGGCCGGTATAAAAGTTACGGATTGCGGAATACGGGAAACTTGTGAAGTTTGCATTAAAGGAAAAATGGCAAGAAAACCATTTCCAAAAAGGTCGGAGAACAGGTCAAACAAAATTTTAGACCTTGTTCATACGGATGTTTGCGGACCCATGCAAACGGTGACACCTGGAGGAAAGCGGTACGCCTTGACCATAATAGATGACTACAGCCGGTACTGTAGAGTTTTTTTAATGGCTCAAAAATCCGAAGTGGCAGAACTTATTAAGCAATTTGTCGAAAAAATGAAAACCAGTTTGGGAAAAAAGCCAAAAATAATTCGATAGAGGAAAGGAATATGTCAACAAAGAACTGAAAAATTACCTGAAAATGGAGGGCATTCAGATTCAGTACACGGTTGCTTATACACCTGAGCAAAACGGTGTGGCCGAAAGGAAAAATCGCTCACTCTTGGAAAGTGCAAGGTGCATGTTGTACGACGCGGACATGGACAAGAAATATTGGGGTGAAGCGATAAATACCGCAAATTATTTGCAAAATAGGCTACCATCAAAATGTATAGAAAAAACACCGTTCGAATTATGGCATTTAAAGGCACCGAATGTTGACCACCTGCGAGTTTTTGGCTGTAGAGCATACGCTCATGTTCCTAAAGAATTGCGAAGAAAATTGGATGAAAAGGCAGTGGAATTTTTATTTGTGGGATACTCGGAAGAATCAAAGGGTTATCGTTTATTGGATAAAAACACCAATAAAATAAAGATAAGCCGGGATGTCGTTTTTCTCAATGACCAAGAAGTAAAACAGCCACTTAAAGAGAATAAAACGATTAAAAGTAAAGATCCAAGTAACAAAGTTCAAATTACGTTGAATTGGAGACGATCTAAGGAAAATAAAACAACGGCGTGTCTTCAAAATTTGGAAAATGCAGTTCAAGAAAATCAGGAAAATTTTAAAGAACCTGTGGAAGTCCTGCAGGAAATAGAAGACAAGAATGAAGACAAAGAAGAACCAAGAAGATCCGACAGGTCGAATAAAGGTGTGCCACCCCACAGGTATACAGGAGACGAAAAGCTGTATACGATGGTTAGTTTTAACGAAGATCCAAAGAACAGGAAGGAGGCACTTTCTGGACCAAATTCAAAGGAATGGGGGGCGGCAATGGACGAAGAAATTAATTCGTTATTGTCAAATAATACCTGGGAGCTTGTACAGAAGCCGGAAGGTCGGGACATAATCAGTTGTAAATGGGTGTTCAAAACGAAGCGGGACGCAGCAGGGAGCATAAATAAGTACAAGGCAAGGTTAGTGGCACGAGGGTTTTCCCAGAAATATGGAGTTGATTACGACGAAATATTTGCCCCAGTTGTAAGGCACACGACATTTCGGCTGCTACTGACCATAGCAGGTAAAGAGGGACTCTTTATTGCACATTATGATGCAAAAACAGCTTTTTTGAACGGGGTGCTTAAAGAAACAATTTTTATGCGACAACCTGAAGGTTATTTAGAGCCTGACAAAGAAGAAATGGTGTGTAAATTAAACAAAAGCATTTACGGGTTAAAACAGGCAGCAAAAGCCTGGAATGATGAATTGAACATTGTTTTAAAAGGCCACCAATTCAACCAAAGTCAAGCAGACCCATGCTTGTATATATTAAAACCGAGGAAGGGAAAGTCATTTACATTGTCGTTTACGTAGATGATTTTTTAATTGCAAGTAGTGATAAAAGGCTAGTAAAGCAGACAGCAGAATTTTTTAAAAATCATTTTGCTCTGATGGATTTAGGGGAGCTAAAGCACTATCTTGGGATACAAGTGAACAAGGATGATGATGGTTTTTATCGGATTAATCAAACGCACTATATATGTAAATTATTAGTTCGTTTCGGGTTACAAGACGCAAAAACCTCGAATTATCCATTGGACCCACAGTACAATAAATCCAGGATTAAGGAACAGGAAGCGATGAAGGATGGCGAAAAATATCAGCAATTAATTGGAGCATTGCTTTACATATCGGTAAATACGAGGCCAGACATTACGGCAAGTGTTTGTATTTTAAGCCAATACAATAAATCACCGACCGACCCCGACTGGGTGGAAGCAAAGAGGGTCGCTCGGTACCTGAAAGGCACTAAAGAACTGACTTTAAAACTGGGTAATAAGGATGACCCAAATAAACACCTGTATGGTTACAGTGACGCAGATTGGGCACAAAGCAATGAAAACAGAAAGTCAAATAGTGGGCATTTGTTTAAATTTAATGGAAGTCCAATAAGTTGGGGATGCAAAAAACAAAATTGTATCGCCCTGTCAACAATGGAAGCTGAATACATTGCGCTGGCAGAAGCTTGTCAAGAAGGGGTTTGGATCCGCCGACTATTGGGAGACTTCGGTCAAAATCAGGATCAAGCTACCATTATGTACGAAGATAACCAAAGTTGTTTGAAATACATAAGTAATTCAAAATTCAGCAACAGAACGAAACACATTGATACAAAATATCATTTTTTAAAGGACCTAAAGAAACAGAATTTAATGTGTTTTGAATATTGTGCTACAGAATACATGTTAGCCGACATGTTTACAAAACCGCTAAGCACTCTGAAGTTGGAAGCGATGCGAAAGGCGTGCAATCTTTTTTAATCAAAAAATAGGATTATTATTGTTGAGGAAGGGTGTTGGAATATTGTGCAACAACAATAGTCAACGTTTATAAAATAGGAAATAAACCACATGGCAAGCGAGTGAAACATTTACGGCATTCGTACCCTTGACTTTAAAATATACTACGAGGCAGAGTCAGTCCGAAACCACCCTCAGCGAAATATAGTCGTCACAGATGTTATTTGTATTTATCTCTAAAAGTTATTTGTTACCTACTTATCAATAAAGTGTACCTACTTAGTTATCTCGTTCTTAAATACAATTGTGCTTTTTATTGACCATTCACATAATTACGCAAACACCTATTGAAGTCATTAAATAAAGTCCAACATATTGAAACAATATTTAAAAAAATATATCTTGTGATAAGTGTAAAAGTAATATACAGGGTGTCCCATAATTAACGTGCAATAATTTAATAGCAGATTCTACGTACAAAAATAAGAAAAAAAAATCCTATAAACATAGGTCGAGAAATGCTTCCTAAATCCTCCGAAAGGGGTTTATATTTAATATCTCCAATACCTTTAAAAATAAAAACGTAAAATTTTGGAAATTGATCAAACTTTTTAATGGCCAATAAGATGTAATAATAACAATTCCAAATTTTCTATGAGGGGTAAGTCAGATAAATAGGGAATTATGGTAAAACTACCCTAACTTTTTCGTACTTGTCTTTTACCAGGATTTGATGTAAGATTATTTTATTTTGGAGGTTTACACACATAAAAGGTCCTCTTGTCGAACTAAAATCGATTTAAAAATTACCTTACATGGCATAAAAATTCATAATGAAATCACAACTAGAGAAACCGATTCAGCTTGGGCAATGTTTAGGAAATTTTTTTTAAAGACAGGTGAAATTTTATGCAATTTAACAGGGAGTTTGATCAATTCTCAAAATTTCACTTTTCTACCTTGAACGGTTTTGGAGATAATAAATAAAAACCATCATCAGGGGCTCTTCTTTCGGGGGCTGTAGCTCCCTTAGGAAGCATTTTCGATCTATATTTATAGTAACTTTTTTCCCAATTTTTGTGTGAGGATTCCTCATTGAGGAATCAGCCAAAGATATTAAACGTATTATCTTTGGAATCAGCTGTTAAAGTAGTTATGGGACATAATTAGAAAGCGTTGTTAGGACGTATTTATATTTTTTTAAATATATTGTATTGTATGTAACATCCTAAACAGGGTGTCTCAAAAATGACTCACTAATGCCATGCCACGCGATAAGAGATATTTAAAGTACATTTAAAATACATTTTTTTTCGTACGAGTAGTTTTGAAGTATTATTGGAAGTATTAACTTGGCATATTTTATATTTAAAATAACTTTCCCATGGTGCCCACCATGTATAAAAATTAATGTTTTGAAATACCTACTTGTTTTACTTATTTAATATGGTTTAAAAAAATTGCTTAAATTACAGTTTGATTTTTAACAGTAAATCGGCCTCAGCCCACTCTTTGTATTTCTATGTCACTGGCCAAATTAAATGGGGAACTAATATTTTTGCATTATGTTGGTTATTTAAATGCAATTTGTGTTTTATCTATTTATCTAACAAAATGTTATTTTTATATTAGTCTTTTACTTGTTTAATTTTATTATAAGAAAAAATAAATAAAACAATAAAATATTTTTATGTTTTTATTTATGGTTATTTTTAATTGTTTTAATATTTTTCATGGTTTAATAATTATATAAGTAATTTATTATATGCTTCTATTGATTTTTTTATTTAATTATGATATGGTTTTTATTTTGAATTTTTTAATTATTTTACCTACCTAGGTATGGTTTTAATTAATGTAACATTTAAAATGTGGTCAAATACCGAATATCCGAAAAGATTTTTTATTAAAAACTAATATTCTATGATAATATCATAATATGAGTCAGATTCAATTTAACAAATATGTTTTTTAGGCCACGAAACGAAGGCGATGTTAAACAACGGCGGTCCCCGATACAAACGGTCGTCGTTGGAGAAGCAAATGAACCAAGACGTGCTCTGGTGCGTGCTAATTCTAATATTTCTTTGTATAATTGGTGCTATTGGCTGCAAACTCTGGTTGAACACTCACAAGGGACTGCAGGAACCGTTCCGGAAATTCGAAAGCGATACCACTGAAGCTTTTTTATCTTTTTGGACCTACGTTATACTTTTACAAGTAAGATAACTGAGTTTTAATATTTTTTTGTTATAAATTAAGAAAAAAGTAGTAAGTTTTTACTAATAAATAGTGTCATCAGATTAATTTTTAATTCCCTATTTTAGAGGGGTATTGTTTTATTTTTTAAAAGTTTGTCATTATTTGTATTTTCGTTAAAAGGGGTAATAATTAGAAATTGGGAAAATTTTAAAAACAATTGCCTCCATTGATAAAAACCAAAGAATTAGTAAAGTTTGGTTATTATATAGTTATTAAAAATCTTTTATTATACAAGGTTTCCCGAAAATGGCCCAATAACGGTACAATGTAGGTCCCATTTTAAGTATTAAAAATTATAAAATATTTTTCATACAAGTGTAGTTTTCGAGTTATTAAAATTAAAGTTTAAAAAACACTGTGGCAACACTGTTTTACTAAGCGGTTATTTCACAAATCTAAAAACGTTCTTATAAACAAAATAAAAAACATCTGCTGCATCCTGAAACAAGCATGGTTGGCAGATCTATTTTCTGTCAGTTTATGTCAAAAAACTAAACTTTTAATCTTCATAACTTTCTTATTAATAATAATTATTACAAATTTTAACTTTTTAAATATTGCTGGAAAAAAATTAGTGCGTCCTTTTCGGGACAAATTTTATACCTGAAATATAAAGTTTGATAAATATAAGTAAGGATAAAATATTACATTTTGATTTTTATTTGATGGAAAATGTTAATATAATGAATATTCGCATGGCTTGAGATTCGCATTCGCAAAAATTCATGCTGTTTTGCGAATATTATTAGGACGAAAAAGCAACAGATTTACTATTTTTTTGAAATAAATATCTTCATGACCCCCCTTTGGTGTCAAATAAATAAGTCTAAAGATTTTTTTTACAAAACATTAGTGTCAACTTTTTAAACTTGTCTACATTTTCTGCGCCCATGATAGGAAACTACATTTAAACAATTATTTAAAAAACTAAAAATCACGTTTTAACGCACTAAAAAGTATAAGATTTAATTTACCTAAAATATGTGCTTTTCACTTCTTAACGTTCAATGACTATGCCAAAAAGCGTGTGTTGTGTTACAGCGTTTTTAACAGTTTTTATTTTCAATTTAAGACTTTAAAATTTAATGTATGTGATATTAACAAGTTAAGACTTAAAATCTAATGAATGTGATATTAATAATAATAATTCTATTACTAATTTAAGACCCAAATTGTATGTGATACTAGTAATAATCTTGATTGCCTATATATATACAGGGTGTTTCTTTTAACTTGAGACAGCTCAATATCTCGAGAAATACGCATTTCACGGAAAAATGTCTTAAATAAAAGGTTAATGTGACTAAAGGGGACATTATTTGGTGCTACCGCTAGCCACCCCCTACCCCTCCTTAAGGGTGAAACGGGGGGTAACTTTGGAAAGTCAAATGGAATGACCCGATTTTTTTTACAGAGTTTGGTAGTACATAAAAAAATAAATAACTTTTATTTAAAACTTTTTTCAATTTATCAACAGATGGCGCTGTAATTCAAAATTTAAGAAAAATGAGTTTTCTTGTAAAATTTATTATTTGAAACGTTTGAAAAACAAAAATTAACATTAACAACAATAGTCGGCTATGAAAACAATTTATAACAAATGTTCGAAATGTCGTCATTCCATTTCAACACATTTTTGAATGCGGGTAATGAATTCTGGCACACAACGCGCCAACATATCGGGCGGTATCGCCGCACAGGCGTTCCTGATCCGCTCCACCATGTCCTCCCAAGTTGCAGGAATTGCAGCGTAAACTTTTTCTTTCAAGTAACCCCACTGGAAGAAGTCTGGTGGCGTAAGATCAGGTGATCGAGCAGGCCAAATTACTGGACCACGTCTACCGATCCACCGCGGTGCACCGGCCATTGAACTCCCGATCCAACACCTCTCGAGCAATTGTCGAATAATGTGCAGGACAACCATCTTGCTGGTACCACATGTTTTGGAGCCGTGCTAGTGGTACATCCTCCAAAAGGTTCGTCAGATCGTTTTCTATAAAATTCCGGTACTTTTCGCCATTTAATGCACCGTCAATAAAGAAGGGTCCGATTAATCGTTCGCTTAAGGTACCGCACCAAACGTTTACCGACCAGGGACGCTGGTGCTCCACTTGGTGTCGAAATGGAAGGACGACATTTCGAACATTTGTTATAAATTGTTTTCAGAGCCGACTATTGTTGATTTAATGTTAATTTTTGTTTTCAAACGTTTCAAATAATACATTTTACAAGAAAACCCCTTTTTCTTAAATTTTGAATTACAGCGCCATCTGTTGATAAATTGAAAAAAACTTTCAAATAAAAGTTATTCATTTTTTTATGTACTACCAAACTCTGTGAAAAAAATCGGGTCATTCCATTTGACTTTCCAAAGTTACCCCCCGTTTCACCCTTAAGGAGGGGTAGGGGGTGGCTAGCGGTAGCACCAAATAATGTCCCCTTTGGTCACATTAACCTTTTATTTAAGACATTTTTCCGTGAAATGCGTATTTCTCGAGATATTGAGCTGTCTCAAGTTAAAAGAAACACCCTGTATATATTGTTGTATTTTATGCCTGTTATAAACATTTATGTTTTTTTGGGTTTAATAAATAAATAAATAAAAAAAAAAAATAAAAAAATAAAATATTTGTATTTATATAAACACCACCCTACAACCCATGTCGACGTCAACATTCTAAAATACCTATAATAATGACATTAATTTGCAATGATTTAGGTTTGCCCAATATCCTCTACAGAAATAACAAAAATAATCATATTTTGATATATATATACAGGGTGTCTCAAAAGTCAAGGACAGCAGAAAAGGGGTAAATAGAGAATGGGATTCTAAGTCGAATGGAATTTGCCGTTTTTCGATCAGACGCACCATTAATTAGTTATTAATAAAATAAAGTAGCCAATCACAGGCGTGTTTTAGCAGACTGATTAGAGGTGGGAGGACTATAATGTGCAGCGTAATCTTAGAAATTCTGTATAAAATCGTTGTGTATAATTACCTTAATTATATGGTTGACATTGTCACTGTCACTGTCAGTGTTTTAGATTTTAGGTTAGTTTTACCCAGAGAACCAAGGTTTTACTTTACTTTTACTCATTAACATGAATGTTTTTTATTGTTATGTTATATGTTAGCTACTTTAAATTTGTCGCTGACGAGGACGTCGTAGGCAGGTTGAATTTAATTGTTAAAGCAGCCTTCCATAGAAATAATACTAGTATTATTTCTATGCAGCCTTCAGATGAAGTGTGTTCTAAAATAACGCGCACTGGACGTGCAGGTGTTGGGGTATCTAAAACAAAAATCGTGCAAGCCATTCACTGTAATACATCTGAATTTTAGTACTTCAGATGCTGGATGAACTTGATGCTAAGCAAGAAGGTAAAATATGATTGTTCAATGAATTTCAAAAGTAGAATTTCAACAGAGAATCTTTAGGCAGCAATTCATAATAGAAAACAAAGTAAGTAAGAGATGATGATGATTAGCAGAAAACCCAAGACTGTAGGAAAAAAAAATTTCTTTTATTTCCGTGATTTTTTTCAATTAATTTTTGTATACATATTTTACTTTTATTTATATCGATTATTTCTTAAATAAACTTTTTTTTCAAATAATTTTTGTGTTTAAATATTTTACTTTTATTTATATCGATTATTTCTAAAATAAATTTTCTCGATTTTTATGTAAGAATGTCATATTCTCGCACGCAAAATCGTTGAAGAATGAAGCTCATTCTTAAACGATTTTTGGTAACATTTAGTTTTTAAGTATTGGCACCCCCAAAATGTCAAACTGATTAATAACCTCAAATTCATTACTTTTATTGAAAATGAAGCCTAGAGTTCGATTTTGTCCTCGGTGAGAAGCGTATCGCTCCTGCATTGCTCCATGAAAAAGTGTGAAAAATAGTTGACTTTGACTCAGGGAAGACAGAATCGGATTCCAGTGCTAGATAATATTCCTCGTTTTGTCCTTTTTTTAAAAGGAATAGAGGAATTTATATAAAGCTATTATAAATTTTAAGGTTACATAACCTATTTGTGTCGTCCACGTGTTTAATAGACAACCGTTGTCCAATGGTTTTTGGGTCTTCTGGAACCATTGGACGTTAAAACTTGTATCTGGTTAATAAGGATTTTTGTCCAGGACCACAAGGGCGGTGGTTAATCCATAAATCCGCCCTAAGTTGAAGAAGAAGAAGAAGAAGAAGAAAATGAAGCCTTTATTATTGTTTTTGTAATATTAACTTTGCTCCAACAATGCATTTTAATGCAAAATTTTAAGTTGAATGTAAAAAAGTGCAGTTCAGGTTGTACTTGTGCAGGATAATTGTCATTTTGTGTTGCCAACTGACATTTTGCGAGAAAAATCCCCTAACTAACAACGACCACAAAACAATTAAAAAAACCTAAATAAAAGTTAAAATCGAGAAAATAGTATAAATCACACGTTGCAGAAGGCTATTCTCGCACTCATTCGTTCGTCCACTCGCTCCTTCGTCGCTCGAGGCCAAATTTCGAATTCGTGCGAGAATATGTGGCCTTCTGCAACTTGTCCTTTAATATACTATTTTTATAAATATTTTTTATTAAGACGTGTACTAAATTTTCTTGTATTTTTAGCATTTAAATAATAATGACTAATATTTCTTCAATATTTAGTTCATTTAGCAAAAATATTCATTCAATATTTTCAATATATTTTTGTGTTATGTGGGTATGGCTCTCTGGGTAACTAAAGGCATTCTTTTTTTTTAGGGAAACTTGGTGGCCCTAAGAAGGGCCGTTTTTTAAATAGTCTTCGGTCCTTTATCTCATGAGATGCTCAAAGGTTCCTCCATTTCTCTGCAAGCACATTTCACAACGTTTAATGATATTCGTTCTGACGTTCTCCAGCATTTCTGGTGTTATGTCTGCTTGCGATAATCGAATCTGCTCCAGAGTGTCAAGCTGATCCTCGGGCACGGTTTTGTAAACGACGTCCTTCATGTATCCCCAAAAGAAAAAATCCAGAGGTGTTAAGTCCGGTGATCTTGGGGGCCAACGAAACGGGCCGTTTCTCCCAAACCAGCGTCGTGGGTACTCAGCATTTAGGTGATCCCGGACACGACCGAAGTAATGAGCCGGTGCACCATCATGCTGGAAGTACTGAGGACGCTCTCCAACTTCTTCGAGCAACCCTGGAAGAACCTCTTGCAAAAATGCCAAGTACGAGTTTCCCTAATAAATAATCAAAAAATTGTATGATCAACTCATGAAAATATAAATTGATCATTTTTTAACTTACGTTTAGCGTTTCTGGTAATTGATATAAAATAACGGTATCTCCGATAATACCGCCCCACATATTAATTTTCCACCTGTGCTGGAAACTTTGCACCCTTTCAAAATGTGGGTTTTCAATCGCATACTGATGCACATTATGGGGATTAAAACACCCCTCACGAGTGAAGGGTGATTCGTCAGTCCACAATACATGCCTCAGAAAGTTAGGGTCTTCACGGTGCATATTGAGAATTTGATTGCAAAACTGTCTTCTCATCTCGTAATCTCCAAGTTCCAGATGTTGTACCTTGGTAGCGTGGTAAGGATGTAGTGCGTTGTCCTTAGTTATGCGGTTAACTGTGCTGCGGGAGATCTCCAATCCACGTTCAAGTTGGCGAGTGCTAGTTCCAGGATCAGCTGCAATGGCCTCAAGAACGCGTTCTTCATTATGAAGGCTGCGAGCTGTTCGTGGTCGGCCAACGCGTTCAGCAGCACCCGGTAAAACGTTGCCATTCATATTAAAATCCTGAACCGCTCGGAGAATTGAAGCATGATTCGGAAACCGAACACGCACACCTTCAAATTGTATTCGATACTGGCGTGCAGCTTCCGCAGCATTGTGAGCATATTCGTAATAAATACGGACCATGTCTGCACGTTCGGGAACAGTATAAGCGCGAGGCATTTCAAAAAGTTGTTTTAACAAAAGTGACATTACAATGTATGTCATATTCATCAGGGATAAAAATATCTCTAATTAAATAATAATGTAAAAATTAATTATTAATAAAGTAATTATTTTTACTTAATAAAAAGTAATAGTAAAGTAAAGTATATCACCATCAACCTTGTATTTACTTATTTAATAATTCGCAAAAAAAATAACAAAAAGATAGGTAGGTACCTATTTGTCCCACACAAAAAAATAAACATTTCTACTGAACCTAAAAAACCAAGACACTGACAGTGACAGTAAATAAATTAATTTAAGGTCATTTCACATATGACATGTTCATAGCTATGGAATTTTTACAAAAGTTTGTGTTGTCCCACCTCTAATCAGTCTGCTAAAACACGCCTGTGATTGGCTACTTTATTTTATTAATAACTAATTAATGGTGCGTCTGATCGAAAAACGGCAAATTCCATTCGACTTAGAATCCCATTCTCTATTTACCCCTTTTCTGCTGTCCTTGACTTTTGAGACACCCTGTATATATACAAACGACAGTTTTTGTCGGTGTAGTGTTTAAAAATTAAAAATACAAATGTTTTCTTTATTTATCGTAAATCAAAACGTCGCTGTAACAAAAAAAATATTTCTAAAACTACTCATTTTATACTGTCCAAAGGTTCGTTTGGGACTTATCTTTCTTAAAAACTTTAAATAAATTGATAAAACTGGACAGTATATAATATAAAGCTATATATAATATTATAATAGTATATTGTGCGACTAGTGGTATAGAGAGGAGATTCCTCGAGCGTGAAGTTAGCTGTAACACGTTAGCGGTAACACGCGAGTGTAATCTCTTTTGAACAATAGTCCCACAGAGTTTATTCAAGTACCGCAAGAAATATACAGTGTAAAAACAAATTATGGCGCAAGGAATTTAAAGCCAATTTTATTTGATATTTAACATCTTTCAGACAGTAACAACGTCACTTTTTAATTTAACTTGAGCGCGTGGGCTATTTCGCTCACTAGTGGGCAAAGTGTGCAAAGTAGCATTCCGATTACGGGTTGAAGTTAAGAAATGAACATTTCGGAAATATATTATTTCGCCCACCCTCAGTAGTGGTGTAGTAAGTTACATATTTCTTGCGGGTGTTAAAATTTAATTTAATGCGGTTGCTCCTTAAAAGGACTAATCAATTAATTAATTACACTGGTCGACAAAATAAAAACCTGTTTGCCACCCTTTCTTGTGGTAATTTGGGTTCGCTGATTCCAAAGTTGAACTCTCTCTAACTTGAACAGTTCAACATGTCAAATGACAAATCAACTTGGAGGAAATTGACTGTAATACAGTGGCGGAATTATGAACGTCATAATTTGGTTGTCGATGTATAAATCTGTAAATAGCAAAGATACAATATTGAGCAAGGCCATTGTACCAAAAATGAACTCGACCTAAGCATATAAATAAAATACGTACATTTCTGTAATGATTACCTACTAGAGTTTGTTACTTTTGTTCACAGGATTTTTTAGGAATTCTTACGACTGAAGTCGAACAAGCGAAAATTACCGAAAATATAAATTTTGACACGCGCGGTTGTTTTGAGTGCCATTTTGACAATTTCTATTTAATTGCGTTGAAATTTTAACACAAAGAAGATGAATAAAATTTCGTAAATTTTATTAAAATTGGACAAAAATTTTACGCCAAACAGCATAAAAAGCGTTTTTACGGGAACAACTCTATAAATGTGCATAATTTTTTTTTTTTAGTTAAATTAGAACTCATACGAGTAGCTTTAGGGCCAATGATCCTTGATTAAAGTATTTGATTAAAAAAATATACTGTATGTACTGTATTTGTACGAATTTGTTTCCACATCGGTTATTTTTTGAATCAGCGCACCCAAATTACCCTAAAAAAGTTGTTGGCCACCTTGTGGAAAAATGGCTGCTGACCAGTTTTATTAAAATAGAAACTTGATAATAAAACCAGTTTTTAATTTAAATGGTCATTTTTTTCTTTTAGATTATGATTCCGTTATCGCTTTACGTGACATTGGAGCTTTGCAAAATGATACAAGTATACTACATACACAACAGCAAGGAAATGTACGACCCGGTGATGAACAAAAGGAGCGAATGCCGCGCTCTGAACATCACAGAAGAGCTGGGCCAGATCCAGTACATTTTCTCGGACAAAACCGGCACGCTGACCGAGAACCGGATGATTTTCCGGCGTTGCACGGTGGGCGGCGTGGACTACGCCCACCCGCAGCTCGAGAACGAAACGAAGCCGGGAAAGTCATCGACGAACCTGTCCGTGGTGGCGAATCCTCGCTTGACGGAGGATTTGTACATGGACGGCACGGGGTCGGAGAATTTGATCGGGTCGCGGCTGTGCCATTCCAGCAGGGTGAACGAGTTCCTTTTGTTGTTGGCGTTGTGCAACACTGTGGTGTGTTCGCATCATGCGCATTACGATATGATGAACGCCAGTGGAGTTATCGAGTCGATGGACGAGAGTGCCTCAGTTCACGGTAAGAATTTATGTTACATGTATTATTATTACAAAAAAGAACGCACTGTTAGTTAAATACAATACAACACTGCGCTTAATTATTCTAGACAGCATTTTCATGAAAGCTTTGTTTCGTTCTTCGGTAGCGATTACTTAAGATTTGACATTTGACTAGAGATGCGACTTTTTTTTAGGCTTTTTTATTGTTTTTTTTTCAAATGGTTTTTTCATATTTTAGGTTTTTTTTCGAGATTAATCCCATTTGCCTAATTTTTTACGTTTCCAGTCCAGTTCGTGGACTAAAATTAGCCACCAAATGAAATATAAATACAGTGTTTTGATTTGGTCATAAAAAAAGTAACTACCTATAATATTTTTGATTCAGCGCTTGATTTTTCAAAAAGCTACCAAAAGCACTTTTTTCATGATTTTTCAAATTCATGTAGAGTATGTATTTTTTTTTTTCAAAAAAGCAATAGCAAATTCTTGTAGTTCATTGGTGGTTAAGTCAGAACATTCCATAAAAAAATTTCGATTTTTTTTATTACGGTATTCGTTAGGATTGAGCGTTGCACGTTTTTCATCTAAATATATCAAAACTAGAAACTTTAAGCTTCAAATTGCTTTTTTTACAGCTCCAATACGACCATTTTTAACGAAGATACAGCTATCCGAAAAATCACAACAAATTTTGGATTTTTTTTATCCTTTAATTTTTTCTATTAATGTATGTGTTTCTATTACATTGCTATTGGTTTCTTATGTGGAAACTATCAAATAATAAAAAATCAGATTTTTTAGTCTCGGCCAAAATTTTCAATAATGAAAAATGTTATATATTCTACATTTCACTCTATTATTAATATACATTTTACTCAAAATTTTATTTTGGAAAATTACTCCATTTTTTAAGATTGATGTTATTTATTGCAGCGGATTTGAAAAAAAACAAAAAAAAACAAAAAAAAACTTTTTTTCGGGTTTTTTTCACATCTGATAAAAAACCGTTTTTTTACATCTCTACATTTCGCACATCCAGTTCAAGAACAACATAACTCAAAAATCAACAGTTTTGAGTTATGGCGGTTTTTTAAATACTTAACAACCTTAGAATAGATTTAAGAAACCATCATAGCTTGATTCCTATTTTTAAGAATTTTATTACACATACATTTATATTGCACTGAAATATCTGTATTCTCTAAGTGCGCACCCACAATATAAAAATATATGGTGCCTAAATTAATCGAATTTCTCATAATGTTGTGTGCATGACCAATGCAATTTTATGTAATAACTTATAAAAAGAAAGGGCGTTATTGTCCTCCCTACTTTTTTTAATAAATTTCTTTAATGTTTGCAAAAGTTTAAACTTGATTATCTATCTCATTTCAATGTTTTTTGAGTTGCGGTGGTCTTGAACTGGGTGTGCATGTTGACCATAAAGCACTGTAAATTTTATTTGGAGTAGGAACAACATTAAATTACCAAAAACTAAAATGTATAACCCTTCAATTCAAAATTGACGAAATGTTTTTTACGTCACATTGAGGCAAACGTCGATAAAATGTTTAACTGTTTATACATCTTCGGAATTTCCCTAATTTTGAAAGAGAAATAGTTTTAAAATTATAAGGGTCAAGTGTTCATAAAATTCCATTTTTTACTTTTTCTTTGGCCTAACTTACTTAATATTTTCTTCATATTTAAATTTTTTTGACAGAAATGTGGTTTGAAGTCTAATCCGGCCATACCTATAGGTGCGTTCTTTTCGCCTGAGATCTCAGTTAATCTCAGCCCACATCGGTAAAATTTTTAAATGTGAGCGTTCTTTTTGCTTCACTCACCATAAAGTGAGCTGAGATTTTTCCTCCCCCCTCACCGATACTGCCCATGCTGTGCGGGGGAGTCAGTTTGAATTAAGTCGGAAATAAAGTGGAGGGGATAAAGAAATTATTGAGTTTTTAAATAACATAACCTAATCTTATTTAGGTGATTTCTTGCAATAAAACTTACATTTCCATAAAAACAATAAACTTGATATAATAAATTGAATTCGAATAAAATTGCTTTTCAGAACGAGAAAAACACTTTTTACAATATCATTTCAATTACAAGAACAAAGAAAGTAAAAGTGAAGATTTTTTTTATTCTTATTTTATTTCATAAAATTATTATTTTTTACAAAAAAATGATTTTTTGCAATAAAACTTAAATTTCCATAATAATAATTAAATTTTGTAAATTAACCATAAACTTAATATAAATAATAATAATAATAATATAATAAATAAAATTCGAATAAAATTGTTTTTTAGAACTAGAAAAACACTTTTTACAATAAAATTAAACAAAACATATCAAAGTGAAGTTTTTTTTTTAATTTTTATTTTATGTCATAAAATTAATATTCTTATCAAAACATTGTTGTGTTTTTGTTTGTCACCCAATTATGGGAAATTATAGAACGGGAAACTTCTTCATTAAATAAAACTTTTCTTATTTTTTTTGTATTATCCATAATTCAACGCAAATTTAAACAGAAAACCACGAAATTTAATCGAATAAGGATATCATATGACACAGAAAATATGACACAGAACATAATGATATCAGAGATAGTTTATGTTTCTCTTATCACTAAGCGATATTTTCCATGCTATTTTAGGTACTAAAATAGTAAAGTTATAAAGATAAAATAAGAAACATTAATATACGTCAAAAACTCTTTGTATTAATGTGCAGGCAAAACGCATGCTCATTGCGCTAAATTAGTGCAATTTTCGCAAAATATTGGATCAATCTCAAAATTCCCACCCCCTACATTCAAATCTTTCGGCCAACTGCTTTTCCCGCCAAATCAAATTGACCAATGGGAACATTTTTCGCATTTCGCAATTCGCATTTCTCATCTATATGTAACGTGCTTTATTCGAGTTATTTTTTATTTTTATATATTAATTTATACAAAATTACCAAGTACTCTTGTTTGACTATGAGTTTTTTCTGAAATTATTGTCGAACTAACTTTTACAAACCCAGCGAGGGCTTTACTTATTTTATTTATTAATCTGGTTTAAAAAATTTTGTTGCACTGTGTTATTTTAATGTTTGTGATATATGATTCTACTCTAACTAATGAAGAATTACATTTACAATAATATGTTTATCAAAAAATATTTACATTTAATTATAATTAAAGTAAATAAAATAATTAATAGTAAATCATTACATAATAAGTAGTTATGTGTTATTTTCCACATGTGTAATTATAATTATATTTATACACATAAATATACAATACATTCTACAAACTTGTTCTTGAGATTATTCGAATTTATTTATTGGTTGTCTTTTTGGAAAATTAAAAATATAACCAGTTTATCTAGATTTATTATTTTAATTCTCTATTTTGACCATATGTAATTTTAATTATTAATTTAATTAAATGTTATGGCAATGGTTTAGACAGAATTTTTTATTTCACCTAATTTTATAATTCTTTTTATTCTTATTTTTTTATATTGATATTTGAAATAATGTATTGTTGTTCTACTTTGCAATATATTATACTTGATATTTTTACCTTTTCTTAATTTTTATTAGCGTGATGATATTTTTGTCTTTGGATTACCTAAACAAGATATTTTAGAGGAGGATATTTTAGGTATAAAAGAATTGAAGTGAAACTTTTCCGCAGTATTCACAATTTTACCAGGGAAGGGGTTAGGAAATTAAACGTTTAATAAGCATCATCTCGTCATAATTATACTCCACGCACGAAACAATACGCTTATGATAGCTAAAGTATGAATTTGTCTTCTGTGCTTCCTGATTTTTTTAAATCGCTCAATTGGGTATTATTTAAAATATTCAATTTTAAGTATAAAACTACTCTTAGATAAGTTATTAATTAAAATAACAAACCTATCTAATAATATAAATTTATTAACTCAACAATAAATTTCTAATTTCTTATAATAGTTAAACAACAAAATAAACCATATTTTCTCTATGAAATTATGATTATTATCATTATTATTCAGTATTTGAACTCTTTAACAAAAACACTAGTTTTGCTGACTTTTATGTTCCCAATTTTTTTTGTATTCTGCTGTGCACAAGATTAAGGGAAAAAAATTATTTCGACCCCTGCCGAAAATGCCTTTTTAGTATGCAGTTGCTGATAATATTGAATTCTTCTTTAAAGACACTTCTTTTCCAATTATAAATTGCAGACCACCAATTATCTGTTGTTTGCAAGACCCCTTCAGAAATAAGCGGTCCATTAAATGCCGCTCTGGCATGCAATTTTATTATGGTTTTATAGTGAATTAATAAATCTTCCTTGGAAAGCTTTTTCTGTTGCATTTTTGGGCTCAATATATTTGTCAAAAAATGAGCTGTTTTCATAACATGTTTGTATCGTTTTATGGCTTTTTTTAATTGAACTGAGGTTAAAACATCGCTCTCACGGAGTTAATGTATGTGATTTTTCCGTATCGAGTAACAGTAAGCCGAAAAACAATTATCACCTTGGTTTCAGTTTTAATAACAATCCTTAAGGCATTTTTTTGTAACCATATTTTGTAATTTTACAGTGCATCACGTTTTAAAAAGAAAAATTTAAGAAGTTTGAAAGGGGCAAGTAATTTTAATCTGACCACTTGTAAAGCAACCCTAAATTCTCATGTTGAATTTTTTTAAATTTTATCCCTATTACAGAACGTAATTTTTGACTTTTATAACTCTTATTTTTTTAATGTTATTACTTAAAATCTACTCTTTGAAAAATTTTTGTAAGTTTTGTATGGTTAAAGGAGTCCACCTTCAATTATAAAAATGTTTTATTATTAAGGCTAATACACATACAATCTATTTTTTTGGACAGATTCTTGCATCATTGAACATAATATATTATTAATGTATAACTAGATAAAAACAAACACTGTTTTTTGAGTTTCACGTTTATTTCAATTTCATTTTGACAATTGTTTCGCTAAATCAGTAGCTTCTTCAGAAATATATATAGATAAAGTTTGAAATCATTTCTGAAGAAGCTGCTGTGTTATTGAAACAATTGTCAAAATAAAATTGAAATAAATTCGTGAAACTCAAAAAACAGTGTTTGTTTTTATCTAGTTATACATTAGTGACATGGAGTTTCATCAAGTAAAGGTCGAAACAATAAAATATATATTATATCTAGTTGCATTGACAAAAGCTAAAAATATCACTTCATGCATCTGAAAAAAAATTCTTTCTTCCTAAACATTGGACCTAAAATTTAATAGATTTAATGTTTTAGTACTGGAGTAATAGTTTCATGCTCATTGTGATAGATATATTACAGATGTAATAGCAGTACAACCTAGATTTTATTTGTTACATTTTTTATTTCTTGTATTAGTTGGCGGCGAAGGCGTACCAACGGCGAACGACAAATATTCGAGACTGGAGGAGTCGCGCTCGGTGACGCCGAGCCCGCCGATGACCTACTCGACTAGCAACGAGCTGCGCAATCGACACGTGCCCACTCTATCGCCCATCGACTCGGTGGAAAACTCGCCGAATTCGATAACGCAGGACCCAATCACTGTCAAAGTGTCGCGTCCAAAACTGCTCACGATTCCGTCGCTGCCGTTCCTCAACCGCAAGGAAAACAGGTAGGTGTAATTTTCGCAATTATATTTTTTAATTTTTGCAAAAAGCCATGTTTTGAATTTTCATAAACAAAAGAGGGTTAGTCCATTTTTTTCTGCATTAACTTAAGGGGTTATATACAGTTAGAAGGCCGAAAAAAAGTGAATTTTCCAGAAGTTTTTCTGAGAAAACTTTTAAATATATTGATCCAAAAATTTATACACATATTATGGTATCTTTTAACTATATTTTAAGACTTAGTACTAGTAAAAATATTTATTTGGAAAAGAGCTACAGCTGATCTCCGGGAGCTCCTCTCAAAAAAGACGTTTTGCGGTGACCACTATATCTCTGAACTGGATCATCAGAATTTAAAAAACCAAACAGATTTCGTTAAAGTAATGTTAAATCTAGTAATTAATCGAAGGAATAAGCAAAATAAAATTTTTTGACAAAATGGCGGTTTCTCAAAAAAAAAAATCGATTTTTCACCGAAATTTCGGCCTTAAATTGTTTATAAAAACCAAAATATTTATCGGAGAGAAAAAATCTTCGATTAATTACTAAAAAATATATTTAAGAAGCTCGTGTTAAAATTTGAGACTAATCGGTTTAGCCGTTTTCGAGTAATGTTGGTCACCGACTTTGAAAACACCATTCAGAGAAAAACGCGTTTAAAGTTTGGAATGCAGTTTACATGGGATAAAAATTTTTTATTTTTTAACTTACATGGAGTCGTCTATTCCAGGCCCATATAATACACCCTGTTCACACTGTTGATTTACACATCTAAATACATTAGAAGGGAGCATTTACAAGGCAGGTGCATAAAAGGCTAGTCGCTGCCGCTCCGGCCTTGTACTTCCAAGCACTCTGAAACGCCTTTTCAAATTTGCGTGTAACTTTGAAAATATTCACCGGAACGATATGAAATTTTCTGTGTGTATTCTTAAATATATGTACATTAAGAAAATAAAATAAAAAAAAATTCGATGTTTTGAAAATTCTAACTGTATGTAACCCCTTAAAGTTAAATATTTCGAAAATATTTTGTAAAAATGTGTAATGTGTTGCAAAGTCACTTTGAACAAATTTGAGATTTTATGGCGTACCAGGACTCCTAACTTGACTCCTGTTTTTTTTTTATATTGGTTTAATAACTTATTTGTATACAAAGATTTTTACAAATATTTTCTTTAACATATTTTAAAAGGAAGTTAGAAAAGATTTATAATTTTTTGTTATATTGGGGTTGGGGCATGATGTCGAAAATCAGTGTGAAACTACTAGTAACTAGATTAGTAACTAAAAACAACCATACCGTTAAAAATGGATAATCAATAAATTCTTTCGGTAGCGAGACGTCACAATGTTATAATTTAAATGGTATGTGGTAGGTATAACAGGCGTGTCAGGTTTTACGAATGAAGTAAATAAATACGCAATATGTGCATTTGATATAAAACAGTAGCAAAGTATTGAAATATTTAATGATTTATAATGTAGACATTTGGAAATTATACATGTATGAAAATGGTCCAATGATTCATTTAGACCACAATGTGACAGTGATACGTTGAGGATGAATTTGTTTCTTATGAATCTTTTGTGAGTCTAAAATGCCGCAAGTTTGCCTAATAACAAAGTTATAAAGATGAAAATGTGCCTCGTCGCTAAAGATGATGTCGTTCAAAATACTCTCTTCGATGTTTATGGCCTGTTGACAGAAATTCTTAAGTCATTTTAACTTTCTAAGCATGTAGATGTAAATCTAGTGTAAAGAGTGGCTGTTGTAATTTCCAAATTTTGTGCACGTTGTCCAGGTTCCTGGATTCTCGGCCAACTCTCGCGAACTGCCATGGTGTTTTTTTTTGTTCTGAACGACCACCAAGAGGTCTTGAGTTACGCTTATTCTTTTCACAGTTAATAATTTTGGGACATGATTTCTTCCAAAAATTTACGAATCGTAGCAACCAAACTTTCACCAGCCTTTTATGTTTCCCAACTCCTGACTGTCTCCTTCTCGACCTGTCACAATTATTTACGTAACAAATTATGGCAGCCAAAATGGCGAGCAATTTAAACCTTTGGCTTTTATTAAAACACTGTTTATATGCAAAAATTATAAATCCAAACAACCAAATTCTTTGTTATAAATCTATTAATGGCGTATTTTAGTATAAAGTTCATAAGTTATTTTTAAAATTTAATATTCGCACCTCTAGTATGTACTTTTCCTCGATTTTCAAACCATTTTAATACTTTAAAGTATATTAAAGATAACCTAGAAATAGATGCTGGATTCATTCGTAATTCCCTAAAAATCTGTTATAACATCGTGATGTCACGATCTCTCTTCAAGGTCCTCGAAGCGTTTTGAATCCTGCGGGTCATAAATTGTTTGAGAAACAAGCGCAGATGGACCATCCTATATAATATAATAGTTAAAAAAGTTTATTACATTTTTGTATGCCTTTTTTTCCGAAAATGCATCTTTTTTCGATTTCATAGTAATACTTAAAGTCTGTTTACAAAACATCTTAAATATTATAATTGTCATAAATTGTTTGAGAAACAAGCGCAGATGGACCATTCTATATAATATAATAGTTAAAAAAGTTTATTACATTTTTGTATGCCTATTTTTTTCTGTAAATGCATCTTTTTTCGATTTTATAGTAATACTTAAAGTCTGTTAACAAAACATCTTAAATATTATAATTGTGTTATAGTAAAGGTAATAGGTATACATATTATGTACATAATATACTGTATTTTCATTTTAAATATATACACTCGAGAAAACCCAGATGCCCCTCCCCAGATGCATTGTAAACTGGTTGCCGTAGGCGACGATTTAGTTATGTTTCGCATTTGCTATAGTGTGAATTTTTAACATAAATTAATTTCTTTTATATGGGCGTTTCTCTGTAAACTGGGCAACTTGAAGTAAGAAATTGTCTAGGCAAGTTTTTTTGTTATATTTTTGTTGTATTTAATAAATGTTATTCGAGGAATAAATATCGGTCTATTTATTAGTAAACGGCAGATGAACCAAAAATATTCCTATTACTTTGGAAAACATTGAGCATTTTCTGAAAAATCTATACAGGGGACTGTTTATAAAATCCGGAGACAAAGTTTAGATGACTTTTTTAGAATTACAAAATAATAATTATAAAAAATAAATAAGTCACAGTAACAAGCAAACAATATTGGTTGAATAATTAAACAATTAGGTTGATTCCAATAGTTACTGTCTTTAATTAATTTAGTCTGAAGTGACCATTTTGCTTTGGTGACACGTCAGGGGACTGGTTTTTAAGGACTATAAAAACGATTTTGATACATTAAAGTTTATTTTATTGGATTTTGAACGTCGAGCATAGGTAGATTAGGTTATTATCTTTTAAAGTTATCTACGAAATATTTATGATCTGTTATTTTTCTAAACAATATTAGCTTGAGACAATGAGTTGCCCAGTTTACAGAGAAACGCCCATATAAAATTTATAATGTCCTACACATTGCAAGAGAAAATTTACATAATAAGCTGGTCTTTAGTGGGCAATTCTCTACGTCAAACAAGAGGTCATTTGACTCAGTTCTCAGTTAAATATCCGGATCGTTCTATTCCGTCAATTAGAACAATAACAAACGTTATCCACAGGTTTAAAACAAATGGATGTATTTAATTGATTTATTTACATTTATTTTAAGAGTTTGATTTTTTGTTTTGTTTTAAGAGAATTGATTTATTTATTTTAGTTTGTTTTCAAGAGAATTATTTTATTTTTATTTTTTAAAGAGAATATTATATATTTAAAAGTTTTTTTTATAAGAAAGCTCTTTTAGTTAAATGCAAAACAAATAATGATTTTACCCTTTTAATTAATACTTTACTGTTAAAAGCAGTTTTAAATAAAATCCAACCCATTGAGCTTTTTTGGGTTCTAGATGTTAGTAAAAAAAACAACATTTAAAAATAAATACTGCCGATAAGAAAAATTTAAATATTTACCTTCTCCTTCAAAACTTATTTTCGCAGTCGTATATATAGTAGTATCTCTATAGATCGGCACGGAAACCTCCGAACTTTAAAATTCCGTTTTGTTTGGTCAATAGTTTGATCGTTTTTTACATACATAAAAATGTAATGTTTTATCTTTTTCCTTTTAAAAACCCTGCGGGCTTTTTTAACCCACTGGATTTTTTGGGTTACCCACTGGACAGCCAACCCTGGTTAAAATTGATAACGTTACATTTTAAGGATCTGAATAATTTTTAAAAGTAAATTACTTAATGCGTAATTCGTCTTAATAAGAGCAAACTTCGACTATCACCCAACGCCGGTGAAGGGTCTACTGTTGAATTACGTAAACCGTCTCTCGGGTCGAGACTTTCGGCGACTCCCACTCTTAAAAGTTATTCTCCCACTCTTGAATGAAAGTACGGTATATAAAAAAAATACATTTGAGTGGTATTGTACTTCCAAAGGATGTGTACCAGTTTAGTGTGTAAAATTTAAAAATGTAAAAAAAGTTTTGAAAATTTTAGAGATTTTGAAAATTTTGGAAATTTGAAAAATTTTTCCTTATTGTTTTCTATTCGTCAACCCCCCTTTTCATTTCATTCTACTATGAGTTGTGAAGAAATAGGCAATCCATCTTACGGGAGCCGAACTATTTGATTAATTTATTTCTATCTCTCTCTTACTTAAGCACAGCCAGTGGCTGTCAGCCACTAATTTCTTAGGCCACTCATGCGAATATGATTCCATTTACGTTCACACGTCCCCACCTTCACTAATATATTTTCGCACGTACACACTGTCGCAGTCATCACATATATATGGGTTACTCTCTATTTCCCAGGAAGCTCGTACCGCACAGCCATAGCATAGATGTTTACTAGGGTGGTATTATCTTTGGGGTGGTCCTTAGCTATAGAGGTAAAAGATATACTTTTAATATTGAATTGTCCCACCCCCCCATTTTGATATAACACAAGAGAAAAAAAAATACACAAAAATTTGAATGGCCAACTCAACCCCTTCACGTGCCTGTGAGGGGTTGAATTTTGACAAAATCCCCAATTTTTAAGGTTTTTGCCATTTACTCCGCAAAAATAGCATATCTCAAAAAATTTTACTCATTAAAATCTTTTCGTCTATTAAAGGTCTATAAAAATTGTCTCTTGAGATTTTATCCTAGAAAGCACCATTTCGTGGAATATTGCATTTGTGCATAATTACCACAAATTTAAGGTTTGTGTAGGAAATGGTGCTTTCTAGGATAAAATCTCAGGAGACAATTTTTATAGACCTTTAATAGACGAAAAGATTTTAATGAGTAAAATTTTTTGAGATATGCGATTTTTGCGGAGTAAATGGCAAAAACCTTAAAAATTGGGGATTTTGTCAAAATTCAACCCCTCACAGGCACGTGAAGGGGTTGAGTTGGCCATTCAAATTTTTGTGTAATTTTTTTCTCTTGTGTTATAACAAAATGGGGGGGGTGGGACAATTCAATATTAAAAGTATATCTTTTACCTCTATAGCTAAGGACCACCCTAATGTTTACACATCAATATATGTAAATATTAATTTGTAACTGTTTGTTAGAGTTTATAATAACGTAATTTAATAATCATGGAAAATACATGTTTTATTTTCTTATTTTTGCAGTCACTCTGAGGCGGTGCCCGCACCTGCGCAGTCGAACGCGTCCACTCCTCACGCGTTAAAGCCGATCTTCGAGGCGGAATCACCCGACGAGTTGGCGCTGGTCGATGCCGCCTTCCTGTATAAGTGTAGGCTAGTTAAACGTACGCCAACTCAGGTAAGGTTTTTTGCTTTGCATTCAATCTAAATACATTCAAAATTATAGAGCAAATTCTTAATTTAAGATATTGAAAATTTGTGAATTAGGTTTTTAAGGGTAGAGATGATAAACTTATAATTCTCTATATGGAATTATTCTTTTATTTTAGGTCGACATAGAACTTCCCAGCAACGAAAAACTCCACTTTAAAATCCTGAGCATCCTTCCTTTCGACTCGACACGAAAACGTATGTCCGTTATTGTCCAACACCCAGTAACGGGCGAAATAATTTTGTACTGCAAGGGCGCCGACACCGCCGTTCTACCCCGTTTAACCTCCGACGAAGGTAACGACGAACAGAAAAAAATCAACGTGATCACGCAACAGCAAGTAAACAATTACGCCAAAGAGGGTCTGAGAGTGCTGCTGATGACCAAGAGGGTGCTGTCGCAAGTCGAGTTCAACGATTGGTACAAGAAGCATTTGGAAATCGAGAGATCCAACGATAATATTGAGAAACGTTTGAGGGAAAGTTTTACTGTTATTGAAGATAAGCTGACCCTATTAGGTGCCACAGGTAAGATATACTAATGTTTTCCTACAAACAAATTTCGCAGCTTTTAATTTATACAAGAATAAGTACTTTTTGTTTAAAAAGTTTTATTTTACAATCAGTAGCGAAAAAAATAATAACCTCCATAAAACCAAATTGCCGCCAAAATTCCAAACTATATTTTTAGCACAAAGCCAGTTTCTGGAACCTGTTTCTATGAACGTGCTTATCTATAAAATATACGTAAATCACATATTATATCGCGCAAGTGAGAGGTCCTTGTAGATACGTAGGCCGCCATTTTTACCTAATACTTCGTACACCTTCATACATCAATGAAACGAATATATTCCACCCCAAATCGGCCACTTTTAACCCCTTTCGATTTGGCTGAAGTTTATGCTACCATACCAAAAGCGTTTCTGTAATTTTTTTACCATACCAAAATTTAAAAAAATGGGGCTTTTTTTCAAATGTTCATTACTTTTTTAAAAAATTTTAAACGTACTTTAACAGATAAATATTCAAAGTCAAAAAATATTAGTTTTTAAAAGTTCGAAATTTTTTATTCATAATTTTATTTATTCTGCATTTATTTCGGCAAATGCCACAGAGGCCAACTTTAAAAAATTACAAAAAAGTTGGCCATGGAATATAAATCAGTTTTCATAAACAAAAAAATTAAAAATTAATATTTTTTTTTGGAAAATGTAAAATTTTAAAGAACATGACTAAAGGCGTGTTTATGCTCACTTAAAATAAGATGCACTGCCCGTCAAAATTAACGCATAATAGGTAAAAAAAATTCTAACTCTAAAACGCCTTTATAAAATTTTGGATAAGAATACTTTAACTTATATCTCAGTTTACGTGTTCAAGGGTTTTTCGAAAAAATATCCTTAAAGCCCTTTTATTTAATATTTTAAAAAACGCTCGAAAAAAACTTGTATAGGGAATTTTTTTAAGTAAATAAAAAATATGCTGTTAAAGGCCGTATTTTTGTTAGTATACCCTGAAAATTTTGTACAAATCAAACGAACAGTAACGAAGATACAGCGCTTCAAAGTCGGTAAAAATGACCACTTTTCAGCAAAATAATCTTAGTATTTTTAGTATTTAAAAATGGTACTTCTGCTAAAGAATTAAATTAAATACTTTGACACTGTCAAATTGCCAATAATATTTATTATTGATAATTTACTTGTCAATTATAAATAAAAAGATAATTATACCTAAAATAATAACAACGAATTCCAATGTAAAAGCCCTTTTGAGGGCAAAACTTCATTTTGATGAAATTATGCCAAATGCCACAATGGAAGAAAAAGTACATCGCCTTACGGACATTTTTGCAGTAAAAAAGTAATTTGGTTTTATAAATATTACATCACACATTATTTTCACATTATTCACCATTGGACAACATTTACGTTCACAAAAAATTTTAATTTCTTCAAAGCGAAGATTATTATCCGCTAGGAATACTTTCTCTTCTGGGCCGTAAAGCAATCTATATTTAACTACTTTTTTGTATGATTTTACTCATCCAAGCACCACCAAAGCCAAATTTATTGCATTTTTAACTACGAATTTCGACAACTCAACTTGACAACTGCACAATGTAACCTACAATAATTTATACATAACCACAATTAGATTTATAACTAGCTTAGTTTGTTTTAATAAATGCGACCAACTTGACAACTGTATTTACCAACCAAAATCCTAAATTTGCAACGTTGCCGCATTCCAGATAAAACAAATGAACTTTAGAAGATTTATTTTTAACATTTAAAAAAAGGATGGGAATTATTTTCGTGCTGATATGACGTATAAAATTAACATAATTATGATTAATTATTAGGTATCGAGGATAGACTGCAAGAAGGCGTTCCCGAAACGCTCTCAGCTCTGATCTCAGCCGGTATAGTGGTGTGGGTTTTGACCGGCGACAAACCGGAAACTGCCATAAACATAGCCTACTCCGCCAAACTGTTCTCGCCGCAAATGGAACTGTTGAAACTGATGGCGCGCAGCAAAGAAGCGGCCGACACCACGATACGCTGCTACCTGCGCGACATCGAAGACAGCCTCGAAGCGCAATCGTCCAACGAGCACAGACCGGCCAACTCCATAAGCGCCTACGACTACTCGAAGAAGGTCGTTCCTAAACCTCGCGCGCTCGTCATCGACGGCAAGACTTTAACTTTTATTTTGGATAAGAGGTCGAACTTGACGAAGCCTTTCCTGAAACTGACGACATACTGCAATTCCGTGTTGGCGTGTCGCGCTACGCCGCTACAGAAGGCTTACATCGTCAGAGTGGTTAAAGAGGAACTGAAAGTGAGGACTTTGGCCATCGGGGACGGTGCTAATGATGTCTCCATGATACAAACGGCCGATGTTGGTATAGGGATCTCCGGTCAGGAGGGTATGCAGGCAGTTATGGCGGCTGATTTTGCTCTCACTAGGTTCAAATTTTTGGAACAGTTCCTTTTGGTACACGGACATTGGAGCTACGACAGGTTGTCGAAGATGGTGCTATATTTCTTCTACAAAAATGCGGTAAGACAACTTTTTTTAGTTTATAGGTACTTGCTGTATTTTCATTTTGGATGTATACAGCTGACGTATCCCAGCAGCGTTCGGTTTTCGCTCTAACCTGACAGGGTAAAAAACATTTTGTTGCCCAGTCACTGGCGTTGGGTGACAGTCGAACTCCACTAAGCATTTTTAAAACTCATCGCGTTTTTATTAAGTTAATTAATAATTTTAAAAATGATATAGATTCCTAGTTAATTTTAACAATAAATTATTAATTTAGTTGAATGTGCAAAATCATTTTTTTTTTAATTTATTTATTAAACCCAAAAAGAATACATGATTCCATAGCAGGTACAATAGTAGAAAAATAAAAATATTCCACAAATAGTATATAAAAACACTAACTAATAAAATATAAATATGTGGAAGTAGGAACAGGCAGTTATCAGTTTTCTTATAGATAAATAATAGTTTTTGACCGATGTCGAAATTTTTTTTATTGTTCTTTGGTTTTTTGTTGTCTCAGGAAGTTCATTGTACCATTTCAGAGCAGATTGTGTTATTCTCAGTTTATATCTCTGTTTATCACAGTTTTTAGTTAGGTTTACAGTTGTTTCTATTAGGTGATTTCTAAGTTTATACACCACTTTGACACTATCCAGCATTATTAGCTCAACAATGTTTAATACATTTAGTTCATTGTATAAATATGTAGAGCTCGTTAGGAAAAGTTTGTTAAATAAGAGCTTGAGAAGTCTATTTTGTGTCACTTTCAAACTCTTTAAGTCCTTTTTTTACGTGCCCCCAAAAAGCTGGAAGATACATTAAGTGTGAGTTAATGTATGCATTATATATTAAATGTTTAGTTTTCTTGTTTATTAAATAAGCATTTCTTCTCAGGTAATAACTTAAGCTTCCAATTTTATTTTTAAGACTTTGAATGTGGTCACTAAAACTAAGATTATCATCAATAATTTATCCTAAATATTTTGCCCTTATCACTTTATCCAAAATTTGTTCATTTAACGTTAAAGTATAGTTATCACAGTTTTTTTTTACTTTTTATGACTAGATAGTTGCACTTGGATTCATTAAGTTTAATATTGTTTTTCTTAGTCCACACATTAATGGCATTTAGATCGCTTTGAGCCTATCCAACCACTTCCTCTTCACTTCCAGAATAGAAAAGTCCGGTATCATCCGCAAATTAAACTGTTTCACCTTTAACATCACATTCAGTTATGTAATTGATGTAAACTAGGAAAAGTAGTGGCCATAGCACTGACCCTTGTGGAACTCCATAGTGAATTTCTTCCATTTTACTATTTTTGTCACCGATGCTTGTGTACTGAAACCGGTTGTGAAAGTAGTTGGTAAATATTTTAAGGGCTCTCTTTTAACTCCAATTGTCTCAAATTTTGTATGTAATATATCTGGGTTAACAACATCAAAGGCTTTACATAGATCAAGAAATAAAGCTAGTATAGTTTTCTTGTGTTCTAAATTTTCATAAATATTCTCAGTTAGATTATTGCAGTTTGTGTGTTTTTTTTGTTGAAACTCATTTTGACGATAACTTATAAATTTAATTTCTTGCAGAAAGTTTAGAAGCCTTTTATGTAGGACCATTTCAAATATTTTTTAAAACACTAAGAGCACAAAGATAGGCCTATAGTTTTCAAAGTCGGTTTTACTGCCTTTCTTATGGATTGGTGTAACTCGTGCTATTTTTAAGACATCTAGAAATGTTTCTTGTTTAAGATGTTGGTTAATCAATACTGCAAGCATAGGTGCGAGCACATTTGAAAGCTTTTTTACAGTTACAGTTTTTATTTGGTCATGACCAGGACTTCAGTTTATTTTTAGTTTTCTTATTATTTTGTTGGTTTAATTATATTTTTTACAATGCCTATAAAATATTTATTTGTTTCGTTTGCAATTCTTGGCAGGTTCTGTTATTTCCTTGTTATTTATAATCAATTTTAAGTAACTTCTTTTGGACTCATTTTTACCCATCAACTCTTTAATACAGGTCATTGCTTCTTAGGCTTGCCATCTGTATTTTCAAATTTATGTGCTATGTGTTGTTTTTTGTTATACCTTATTAGCTTCTTTACCATTTTTCTTAGATTGTTAAACTCTGCTTCATATATTTTATTTTTTGTATATTTTACTTTTTTTACATACATTTTATCCAGGGCTCTCCTTTATTTTTTTATATACTTCCTGTGTAAACCAACCTTCTTTTACTGAGTTTGTAAAGTTTCTCACCTTTCAATATTTTCATTTAATATCTTAATAAGTTGCTCAAAACTTGTTACATTTGTACACTCACAGGCAAAATAATCGATCCACACAAATTTTCGATGAATTTCAATCGCAAATAACTTTTTTATTTGATGTCGGATTTAAACGAATATTAAAGAATATTGTAGATAAATTAATGGACAAACACTCATATTTTAAAAAATACTAAAAAATAGAAGAAAGTTTATAATATACAGGTTTAAACAAAAATATGTTTTTTACCATAAGTTTAAGACACTCTGTAGAGTGGCAAAATCGTATATTGTACTAAATTAAGTTTTAATTATCAAGTCACATCTATTTTTAACAGTTTTGTTTTTGGTTCACCTCGATATATTTATTTTTGTGGAAAAGTAATTTTTAAAATGTGAGCGATTCTCCATTAATGTATCTACAATATTCTTTAATATTTGTATAAATCCGAAATCAAATAAAAAAGTTATTTGCGATTGAAATTCATCGAAAATTTGTGTGGATCGATTATTTTGCCTGTGAGTGTATTTTGAATAAAGTCTTAAATTTTTTCCAGATTTGTATAGTTTATTATTTTGGATGTATATGTTTGCTTTTCTTTAGTTGTATGGATTTTTTTTACATCAATATTGAAGGATATCATTTTGTGATCAGTGTTGCAGTTAACTCAAAAGTATTATAAAATCGTTTAAACATATGACGAAAATGACAAAAATTAAGAATAAATTAGGAATAAACATTGTTAGAAAAGCAATACCTTTACGCGCAATTTACCAACACAAAGCAAGTAATTATAATTCTTAAACTTTGACTGGTTACCTGATAAATATTCAACAGATTTCAAGGTGATTTAAAGTTTTTTATTACCTTCAGATATTAAAGAATACAAAATTCCCTAAATTTTGTCGAAATAAAACACTTCATTATTTTGAATTTTCGCGCTTGGAAGCGCTCTCTAGCCTACTGTGCGACGCCTTAAGCACCACATAACATTAATATTTATTATTGTTAAGTAAATTTTAAAATGTTTTAATTAAAAAAAAATTATTTAAAAGTTAACCATTGAAAACATTAACAAAATAATACAAAAAGGACCAACAATTTTTATTAATTTTAATTAGGTTCTTCTTTTACTGTGCAAATGGGACCATTACTTATCTCAAAACCAATTGGAAAAAAATTTGGACATGGAACAAAAATTTAAAAACAATTTTTTTTTAAGAGTTTAAGCAAATATAATGCGGAAAGGGAAATGAGACTTCTTATAGGAAAAACCAAATTTGAGTTAATATTTGTTTTAAAAACCACACTAATCCAATTCTGTCCAACGAAGTTATATAATTTTTTTAACTTTTACAGACGTTCGTCTTCTTAACATTCTGGTATCAACTGTATTGCGGATTCTCAGGGGCTGTGATGATCGACCAGATGTATTTGATGCTGTACAACTTTCTCTTTACCTCGTTACCTCCAATAGTTTTAGGTAAAACACATTGATTTTGTACTAGCTACTTGCGACTAGGTACTTGCTCCTAGCGACCGAAAACTGTTTGTTGAGTTTTAGCAATGCAATTTTAATATTTTTCAGGCGTTTATGATAAAGACGCTCCATCGGATCTCCTGCGCAGCAAGCCTTACCTGTACCGCGCAGGTCGTCTGGGTCTGGTCTATCGACCGTACTCCTTCTGGCTGACGATGCTCGATTCCGTATACCAAAGTCTGGTGATTTTCTACGTGTGCAAGGTGGCGTACGACGACACGGAAGTCGACATATTCGAGTTCGGAACTGTGTGCACAACCGCTTGCATGTTCGTCATGTTGGCGCATGCGTGCATCGAGACAAGATCATGGGTAAGAGAATACTTTATTAAAACGTTTTGTTTTTCGTTTTAAACAATTCATTCTTTGTAAGTATTAATAAAACAACTAAATTGGCAAGTTGTCACAGTATTTTTAGTATTTTCTCAATAAGGTTTAACATTCATTTCAAATTAGGCATTTTTTAAGAACATTGTTTTGTTTCAAAATGTGGCATCGATATGTTTTTTTCTGGTGGTCTAAAGGGTAAACTTTTCGTTTTTAGATTTTGAATAGTTTTATTCTGTTTCCTATTGCTTAGACAAAAAGTGTTAAAACAAGAAATGTTAAGCTTTAAATTTTCCACATAATTGTTTGTACGCAAAACTTTCTGTATTTAGTTCCTAAAAAAGTAGAGGGCGCCAAATTTAACTTTTTTTATAATTTGATGCTAACACTTTTTATAATTTTTTATTGATATTCTTAAGACCTACACCACATTTCTAGCGATCGAGGCTACTCAGAGAACAATTTAAAGAGCGTACCTAAGTTAATTTAATGATATTAAAACTGTTTATATTTTTTACAGATATTTTATCTAGAAATTTTTTGTTTGGCTTTTTACTTTTCAATTTAAACTTTGGCGCCCTGCCCTATATGTTTTTAGGAACTAAATACAGAAAGTTTTGCCTATAACACAGTACGACAAAATTTGATTTTTTTTCCCTCCCAAGAAAAATTCTTATAGATTTTAAAAATAGACGTATTCGGCACATAATATAACAGCTAGACTGTATTTTTTATGAAAAATGTATTCAATGAATAAATGGACAACCATTAAAATTATTTATTTATTTTAATTATAAACAGGGTGTATTTACGAAATACGGTTGTTTCACGTTCGAACTCCATTGAAAGTTTCTTAGGAACGGCAAGATATATCAATTTGAAATTTTTATACGTTTATAATCCAACTAAGCCTATTTTTCTAAAATATTTTAAACAAAATACTACTTGCGGTTTGACCAGAAGTGACAACAACTTTATTATTTTAAATATAACACCCCATATATTTTTACATTTTTAAATTCTACATAAAATTCTGAGTAACATTTTTGTACTACACCTAAAGTAAATAGTTTTCGAGTTATTAATTTTTTTCGTTAAAATTTGACAAATGCGCGTCAATCAAAAATAGCCTATAACTTTTTTGCTATTAGGTTTGCGGAAATGGGGGTAGAATTTTTGGAATCTTAAAACATTGTTTAAAAGATTCCATGTCAATTCTTTAGCATTTTTTTAACAAATTACCCAAGAAAACCCAGGGCAAATTAGGCTAACTTGAAACGTTAACAACTGTATGTTTTTACATAATCAAATAGTAAATTAAAAAACATTTCGATTAATATAATTATTCCATATAAATAAATTTAATAATTTTAGAGATATTTAACAATTTCTAATATTAGACCCAGAATAGTCAAGAAGAGCAACGTCTAATGTGGAAGTAAGAATTAAGAATTGCTTTAATGTAAATGGAGGACACTTAATTATAAAAATTTTGTAATAAATTAATAATAAAAATTGTTGGTTTATTAAATTGTTACAGTTATTAAAATATTTCATAAAATAAATTTTATATTTTATTGTCTCCAATGAGCTAGTGCTTCATCTAGTTGATATTCTACAGCTTTGTTGATTTTTTTTTAAATTAGCAAATACTTTTAAATTTTAAAAACATTTGGCTTGTCAATGTTTTAAAAAATTCACTCACTGCTTTTTTATCAGTTATTTTGTTTACAAAACACTTAATTAGTGAACAAATTGTTTATAACAACCTGAAAAATTTACGCCATTAAATTTTGAACAATGACAGATTACGTGGTAACCAAAGAACTCACCCGTCAAAAAATAATATTTTAAAATTTGTGTTAAATATCTCTTTTTTAATTTGCTCTTTGATTAGGTAAAACATAACGGGTTTTACATTTAAAATAAAAAAGTTATTAACGTTTCAAGTTACTCTGGGTTTCTCATGGAATTTTTTGAAAAATGTTAAAAAATTGACATAGAATATTTGAAATGACAAATAACAACACGCTTTTAAATTTCAAATCGATATCTTTTTCCGTTCCCCTAAAACTTCCAATGGAACACGAATGTGAAATGCCCAACAAATATGTAATATTTATATTCTAAGTTAATACAAATCTGTTTTATTAAAAAAAACATTAAAAATTAAAACCAGAAATAAGTTTTTTACTTAAAAAAAAGTTAAAATTATTATTTTCTTTAAGTATAATTTTTGTATTATGTAAAAAATACAATATTTAAAGAAAAAAATGATTTATAACAAAATAGATAATTAAAAATCTGTATAAAAAATTTAAATGGCGTGATTTCCTGAAACGGTGAGACAAGGGTACGTTTTTTAACCTTTATTTTTAAAATCTTTCATTTTCATGGGAGGAAAATCGTGTTGAACTGTGTAATAATTATATATTAAAATAAATTATATACAAAATCCAGCCAGTTTGAATTTCATTATATTTTGGTAAATAGGATTTTTAAAATGTAAAAAAACTGAATTATGTAATTCATATTCTTTAAGTTTTTAGAAACTATGTTTATTTTTAAAATTCTCTCATATATAATATATGTATAAAAAATGTGACATCTGTTAACCTTACTTTTTCCCAATTTAAAACCTGATTGGTTCAAATCACAGTGAATATTGAAATCAGCCATCACTGATTCCCAACAACGTGAATAATGTTAATTTTTAATTTTTTCCGTTGTCAGGCGGAACGGTTATATTGGTTACCGTTATTTAAGGAAAAAACACAAATAATGTCAATAATATGCAATGGTAGTAGAAAAATGATTTTATCCACTCCTATTGCATAATATTGTTTTTTCCGTGAATAATGATTATCATCATTATCAAATTTCCTGCCCAACAACGGAAATAATGAACTTATTATTCACGTTGTTACGCATCAGGGATTGCAGATTTCAATATTCACTGTGATTTGAACCAATCGTGTTTTAGATTGGGAGAAGGCAACTATAATAACATTTAAAAAAAGTGAGGTTAACCACTTGACAGATTTCAGATTTTATTTATTTATATTTGAAAATCATTTAATTATCTACTTATTGGAGTAAATAAAGTATAGTATTACACTCGAGATTATGCGCCATTATTTCTCCTATTTTTAACTGTTTTGTTTGTTTTTTAGACTATAATTCACATTGGTTCTGTGGTGACATCGATATTTCTCTTCTACATCTACTCAGTGGTTTATGATTCAGTGTGTCTCAATTGTTTTAATTTGCCTAGCACGTACTGGATTATACAGGTGGCCATAACGCGACACATCTATTGGCTAGTGACGCTACTAGCGACTGTTCTTGCAGTGTTGCCCAGGTAATAAAACCAACAAGAAGTTATTATACGTCATAATATAATATATTACATTCTAGAGTTTATAACTTTTATCCTGTTTAAATTTTTTTATGGAAACTAATGAAAATCTGTGCCTTTTTTGTTAGATTGGTGTACAGGGTGGTCCTAACGATGTTCGCGCCAGATGACATCACAAGGGAACTGATATCGCACGAGAAAAATCGTCGGAGAGGTGAGAGATTTCTAGTAACTTGGTCACGTTCGACTTCTGCCTCGTCAATATACAGGTATACAGGGTTGCCGCGAGATTTTAATTTTTGTTTGATTTTTTGGGAGTGATTTTTTAGTTTTTTTTCTACCATATTAATCAGTATATTAAAAGAGAATGAACTGTGTTTGGCATTTATGCCTTTTTAAATTTTTATTCGAGGGTACCTAAATTTTATTTATTGGTATTTTCATTGGCAACAATTTCATTGGTAAGTTTGCATGTTTTGAATTAAAATTATTCCTAATTTCATTATGTCTTAAAGGTTTGTATAACTTTTTTTGTATTTTATTTTTTGACAACAATAATTATAATGGTTATGACAGTAACCTTTTTGAACTAACCTGAGACATTTTCAAATATGAAAGGTAACTTTTATACTCTTTTTTTGTTTTAAATTTCGTTATTGCTTGGGATTCTCTCAACATAATTAAAATCTGATTAAAATGAGAGCAAATAGAATGCTTATTTTTAATATTTTTGTTTTTAATCATCAATATTATGACCATTCTTATATAGGCAATAGGGTGATTCATTTCCGCAAAGTTTTTGTTTTTTTCGGTGCTCAAGCAAAATATTAATCTGCATATAGAAACAAAAATTCTCACCAAGTTCTTAATATCAATTTTAAGTACTTACTATTTAAATTTAAGTTTTACCGTTTAAAATGCATGTAAAAATTATCTTTTTTTTTCAAATTTCTAATGCTTACCGACCTTTTACAATATTGCAAATCGGTTTGATGGACCTTGTGGGGAATTTCGCGCTCTTGAAAATTGCTTTGAAGTTTTTTGTGTAACTCGCAAAAAAAAAGAATATTTTTAACATGCATTTTAAACGGTAAAACTTAAAGTACTTAAAATTAATATTAAGAGCTCAAACTTGGTGAGAATTTTTTTCTATAAGCAGATTAATATTTTGCTTGAGCACCATAAAAAAAGAAAAATTGCGGAAATGAATCACCCTAATAGGCAATGTCAGAAAATCTTCAGGATATTGAATATGATAGAAAACATACATTATTATGAGAATTAAAAGAAAGTTGGAGTATTCTTTATTTAAAAAAAATCTTAATCTAAAAAAAATATACCAAATTTTCTAAAACTTTTGTAAAATAAGGGTTCAAACCTACCTACACCCTTCATTCAAAAAATAACCGAATTTAAAAAAAATACAGAATTTCAGTGGCTCTACCAATTGGAGAGCTCAAAGAACTTCTCAAACATATATGTATGTTTCTAAACATCATCGATGTTTAATTTGCTATTCCGTTTTTAAAATTCGCTGTTTGGTAAACATAATCATATTATGATGTTTGAAAATGTATGTACACGTTTGTCTTACATTAATTATAAATTGCGGCGTTTATGTACAGTCTACAGTACAGTACCGATATATAGCATGTTGATTGTCCAAAATTAATTAATAATTATGTATTAATAGGAATAAGGGGCCTTACATAAAGTGCGCCACACGTTTAGGGGCGCCTGGGGTAATATATATTTTTTGTAATGATGAAGAATTCGTGAAATCGCCACGAAAAAAATGGCTTTCCTTTTTTTTATTGAAATGTTGATAATTTGGTTCTATTTAACCATAATATTGACTCGATCAAGTTTTTTAATTTTTTTGTCCAAGTTATTGTAAAAGTTATTTAAACAAAGCCTTGCCATTTTTAAACAAATAACCCGATCTCAATAAAACTTTGGTAGCTTCCAGTTAATTTAATAAACTTTAGTTTATTGTACAAGAACTTCCAAAACAATTTTTTTTCATAATTAATAAATTGTTTATAAAAACTTATATATTTTTGGGTTCTGCGCCTTTTAAAAATCTGAAAAAATAGACAATAAAACCCTGAAGAATCTAAATCCGTCGAGAAAGTTTGGAACCGCGATTATTTTTGAAATTATGACGAAAAGAATGATCATCGTGATGTATTTTTTTTTAATTCGGTAATTATGTAATAAATATTGTTAAATAAATAATTATATATAAATAAAAACCTTATTGCCAAACAGTTTAAATATTCATACAGTGGAACTCCAGTTATCCAGACCACTGTTATCTGCACCATTATCAAATGGCTATTTTTATAAATATCTATATAAAAATGCTCAAAAAGTGCTTTTAAAAATGCTCGAGCAATTTAAAACATAAACCTGGTTAAAAAGTGCTCGATATTTGCATCTTCCATCATAAATGAAACGCGGGATTGTAACATAGCCTTTAAAAATACTCGAGCATCTCTTACTATTAATTATACAAAAATACTAATCTATTCAAAAATTAATTAGATTTAGGTAATTTGAAAAAATATGAGTGTGACGTGGGGGGGGGAGATACTGCTACAATAAGTGACGGGAGGGATCAAAAAATACGTGACGTACTTTATGAATGATATTGGTAGAATAAAAAATATATTTTATTTAAAAATCACTAAAAATGTAGTACAATATATTAAATTATTAAACAAAAAATCAGTCAAACCAAAATATAAAACCTAATAAAATACAAAAAAGTATTTTCCAAAAACTATAAAACTCATCCTTATGTTAAAATGTTCCTTCTAATGTGAGCTAGAACTTTTTTGTTTACCTTTTAACATCTCTTTTAGTTTATCAGCATGTGTTGACGTTTAAGGCGGGCCAATGCAGAATTCAAGAGTCGGTAATTCTTCCACCACTAACTTCCTGTTAAGGCTAGTAATATGTCCTCATTATCATTAAGTGCGAAATGCTTAATTTCTTTGCCCGTTCCTCACTAAAAGTCTGTATAATACTACAAAATAATTATTCAAGATATTTTCCACACAGGGAAGAACTTAATGGCCCCGCCAAAAGAGTTCAAAGTTTTTCCCACGTATTTTTAGAATTTTTGAAATTTTATTTTTCCTCAAAAATTCGTTATATTTAAATTCCTTCAATATATCAAACATCACCCATGATTTTTGCATTAAATACGCGAAACGAAATAGCCTTTAACATTGGTGATGTTCCAGTTATCGTTAGGTGAGCGATAGATTTTCGACAATGATCGAAATTTTTACCTCCTGCAATTTTACTTTCACTTTCCGCATCACATTTGATGACTTGATTTGGTTTGTTTCCACTTCAAGTCACAAACATGTTTCTTACAATTTTCAAACCCTCCTTGCGCATATCCGCAACTATTTTCTGTTGATGGGAAAACACGACGACGTTATGTATAATGGGATGCATAGGGATACTTTATTTTAGTAAATGTTACTTAGTTAAGTATTTTGTTGCATAATGCAACTTGCATTATTTTTGTTTAGTTAACCAACTAACTTGTTTAGTATTTTAAAGATATTAAACCAACCAGCATTTATTAAAAGAAAATATATTTAAAAAAAATAATGCAACAAAATAGTAGGTAAACTGAAAGAAAGAACGTTAATTTGTATTCTGCGCATGTGTCAACAATTTGCTTGAAGATAACTCAAACTGCTCGGACTGCAAAACTGTCAGGAAATTATGTGAAAACTGACTAGTAGTTTGAAATCAGTTGCAAACAAATGTGCGAACTAAATGCGCACACTGTGGAAACAAACCTAATAGGTTTGATAATTATTTTTATATTTTAACATTTCGGTTATTTAAGAATGGAGGTTGTGTATGTACTATAACAGAAAAGGATAAATTTTTGTAATTGTAAGTGAAAAAAGGGATTGTAACCAAAAAAGACTATTTTCTTATTTAAAACAGTACGGTTTTCGTCTAATCCTCAGGATAATTTGTTTTTTAAGACCTCAAAGATTTACCAACAATATTTTGTGACAGAATTTCATCTTTTTTTACCAAATTTGCATGAATTACTTAATTTATTAACAATTTAATACAAACAATTGCCAAAGAAGGTTGTCTCATGAGGTAAAGTTATTGATTGGGATAACCTTGGTAAAATAATAGAACATTATCTAACAGGCGGAGAAAACGCTTATTTAAAGCCGAGCTCAGTGTTCGCTGCCGAGGCTGCAGATCTGAGCGAGGCAGTTAATATGCTTTCTCCGCCGTGTTGTAAAAACTATTTTTTTCAAGCATTTAATAATTTTACTATAATTTTGTTAGGTTTGACATTTGCCATATGTTATAATATAGGTTATGTATATTAGACTGGGCCAAAAAAATGAACTATTTTTTTTGAAAAGTATATATAAAATATGGGTTGGGTGACAAAAAAAAATTATTGTGAAAGTTTTGAGTCCATAATATTAATATTAAGAGGTCTATCATCGAAAAATTTTTTTTTTCTCTCAGAACTCCCATTGAGTTTAACAAAATTGACTCGAAAATATTTTTTTAAGAATATTAAATGCTCTACAAAAAAGGTTAAAGTGAAATTTTCCGTCAGATGAACCGTTTCGTTAAAATCATGCCTTAAAAATTGGTATTATTTTACATTTTGATCTTTTAAATTGGAATTTTGTAATTCATGTAAAAATCAGTACCCATAAAAAATATTCTTATGGGAAATCAAATGCTTTACAAAAAAAGCCTCTTAACATTTTTGGCTAAATTCACTCAATCAAAAGTTATTCAAGGTTAAAATTTCGTTTTGACTTCAAATTTAACCTTGAATAACTTTTGATGGAGTGAATTTAGCCAAAAATGATAAAAGACTTTTTTTGTAAAGCATTTGATTTCCCATAAGAATATTTTTGGTTTTTTTTTCGGGTACTGATTTTTACATGAATTACAAAATTCCAAAGTTAAAAGATCAAATTGTAAAACTATACCAATTTTTAAGGCATGATTTTAAGGAAACGGTTCATCTGACGGAAAATTTCATTTCAATCTTTTTTGTAGAGCATTTATTTTTCTTAAAAAAATATTTCTGAGTCAATTTTGTTAAACTCAATAGTTTGGGAGTTTTTTTTGTCACCCCAAAGCATATATTCGATATACTTTTCAAAAAAAAAATAGTCGATTTTTTTGGCCCAGTCTAATGTATGAATTTATTTTACAGTGACCTGTAAGTTTATATTTTCTTTGCTGATTTCAAGCTAAACGCCATAGATGGATCATTTTTTTTCATTATTGCACCGCGGTGACTTTTGAATTGCGTACAAATATAGGGTTACGAGTTGTATAATATAAAAATTGACACTTAATACAAAAATAATATTTTTACATAATAATTTTCATATTATAATGACAAAAGTCAAATTATTATTACTCCGTACAGAAATAAAGCTAAAATGTCATCATGTCAGTTGAACCTAACCTAAAAATGATGTGACAGAATCATAAGAAATTATTCAATTAAATGATTGAAAAAAAATAGTATATTAATTAAACTCAGCGTTGAAAGCTTATTAATTGCCTCGCATACGCCTCGGTAGTAAAATGTATGCTTGGTGATAATAGGTGCTTTCCAATTGACCGTTTTGAGCACGCTTTGCAGCCATTGCTGGGTGTTTAAAACCCGATGCAAAACATTCAATTGGAAAGCACATAATATGAGCTTTCTCCGCTTGGTCTATAATGTAGTATTTTTCAATAAAATGTATATCCCTTATGGTCTATTGGTTAGGATACCTGGGTTTCTCCGCCTGGTCTATAATGTACTATTTAATTTCAGAACCGCCAATAACAGGAATCAGGATAATACTTTGACAGCAGTCGGGTGAAGCCGCCACACCGGCGGTCGACATATAAAAAACACGAGAATTAAATGCATTTAATGGCTGTGATGAAATGTAAAATAAGGGACCAGTTAGTTAATTTTGATTTTTTTTATTGTTTAACGGACCGGACCGCATGCCGCAATCGATTTTTATTTTATTTTAATATTTTTTTATGTAAACAAAAAGTGTAGCATTTCAGTGCCATTTATTTTTATTTTTTTGATTGTTTGTTGTACTTATGTGCTTTACCGAGTCCTAAAGTTAACAAAAATGGATTTTAATTTTTGATACATTTTGGTGCCGACCTTTTTATGTTTTAACTTTATTAATTTGGATCTTATTTAATGTTTAGGTACTGTAAAGTATTATGTTTCAATTCATATGGATTTAATTAAAACATTGTTTTTAAACTAATATCCTAAATGAATAAGGAAAAATAAGACAATAAAATAACTGTTTTCTTTAATTTAATTTTAAATTATGCCTATACTGTATATCATGTGTAAAAATTGTTATTGTATATATTAAGTTCCTTCTTTATTTATTAACTATAATTTACCTTGCCAAAAAATAGCACAATTTTTTAATTATTGATATTTTTTAAGTAATTTATAAGACGATGTGTAATATTATATCCATGACTGTGAATAAATTCTTATTTTGTCAATATGTTAAAATTACACATAGGAATTAACGTCAATTTAATAGGATCAAATAAAATATTTTGCCTTATAAATATACAGGGTTTTCTCAAATTATTTTTGTAAAATGTGGTGTTTTACTTATATTTTTTGATAACGTAATATTCTACCACAGCTTAAATGACTATCCTGTGTATATTTTTTTAACAGACTGTCGTAAATGTATAAAAATCGTTAAGTGATGTTGATTTTTTAGAGAATTTAAATGAGCTGTTAATGAATTTAGAGTAAAGTTATTTATGTACAAATAAGAACTAAATAAATATACCTATTGATCCTTAAATCTTGTTTTATTCTTTTTCAAATTTTAAGAATGAATAAATTTACAAAATTTTATTGTCGTAGAAACTAGTATGTGTTATTTTATAGAAACTTGTGGCCAGAAAAATATTGTAACAAAAAATTTAAATACTCCATTACAATGTCAATTAAAATGTGATATTTGCAATATATTATTGCAACTGCTTAGACTCAGTATGAAATCCATTATCTTTAAACATATTCACTTTATTGCATTAGATTATAATTAAGGAATCAAATATTAGAAACTTTCAGTGGCTAATCGTGTTCAACAAGTCAAAAAATCAAAAATTAATAGATGGAATAACCATTAGAGGTATGTAATTGATGAATACTATCAAAATTAATAATTATTTACAAGACCAGTTAAAAAACGGTTTTGAGTAGTATAAAAAGTTGTGACAATCTACTCAAAGTAAGTGTACCATCACAATATAAAACAGATAATTATTACTCTGTTATTCAATTTATAAATCTATTCTATCTTTATTGTATAGGATTCCTCTACGTTACCAGCTATTACAAGTTGATTTGTAGTTTTAATTTAATAAAAAATAAATAAAATAAAATGTCAAAAAAATTTCTTTCCATTCAACTTAAAAAGTAAATAAAAAGAAATCCCACCTGAGTAAACCAAATAATAATAATAATAATAACTTTATTGTGAAAAACAGTACAATACATGTATCACAAAAGGCATGAGTTCAGCTTCACTGATCTTCCACTCACCCAGCAAACAAATATAATTTTAAATTGTAAATAAACAATAAGTATATAAAAACTAACAAATATCAACAACATATTAAAATTACAAGATTACAAAATTTCTTTGGCTTGGATCTCTAATAAAATTTTTAAGATATTAATTTTAAAAGTCCCAAGGGATATATCACTACTCCACAAAATAAAATTTTTATTCACAATGCTGGCAGCCAAATATTCGAAGGAACTCTCAAATTTTTTTGTTTTATGGTATGGAATTGACAACAAACAATTACTTCTAACATTTACATCATGACTATTATATCTATATTCCAAGAGTGAAAATAAATATAAGGGTAATTTAGTTTTAATAATATTGAACAACATAGTCGCAAATTGCTTGTAAAAGACATATACACATTTCAAAATATTTAACCTAATATAGTGTGGACCTACATGGTCTCTGAAGCTAACATTATAAGAATATCTTAAGCAGCAGTTTTGTACTTTTTGAAGTAAATTTTGAATTTTTTTATTTGCATAGTTAAAGTAGATAGCACCACAATAATTAAAATTACTCAAAATAACAGCCTGGCATAAATTCCATTTTACATCACTACTTAATACCTTTTTAAACTTATACATTGATTTAAATTTCACAAAAGCACCGAAACAGAGTTTGATAAAGAAACTTGAGTCATTAAGGAAATTTTAACACCTTCCTTGTAATCCAAAAAAAGAACATTCGTATTATAATTCCTAATTGTATTTAAAGTAATTGTACCTATTTTGTTTTATACATTTTGCAGAAATAAATTGAATTTGAGAGTGAAAGAACAATACAAGGGCTAAAATGGCGTTTTGAACTGAGATAGCCAAACCGCTTGAAATTCGTAAAAGTATCGCTGAGCCAAACAATAGTATACTAGCCAACATTGTACCCATAACCATAGCCTGTCCAATTTCAGACCGAGTGGAAAAACAATATAAGTACCGCACATGTATTGTTCTTCCACGGTGGAAGTTTCACCCAATGTAGTTTTAAAATAAACAAGTTGTTTCTTTTTTGTTATTGTTTGTTTTGTTTTTCATTTATTCATTTATTAGATAGACAGTAGGGTGAGCCAAAAAAACTAACCTATCGGATTTATGGGTTAAAATGAACCTACATACCGAGCAAAAAATATCCCTGCAAGGCAAAATTTTTTGCTCAATTTTAAAAGGTGTCGGTGTGCATTTTAAGTTTTCCATTGAAATAACACGTAAAAAAATCTTTTTTCATTAAAAAGTCTATAACTTTTGAACCGTTTGAGATAAAATTTTTTACGTCGCGGATTCTTGTAGAGCATAAAATTTCCCAAAGAATCTATACCAGGATTATTTTTTTTAATTCAAAAATTCGTATGTTTGAAAGCTTTGAAAAGTGTAAAAAATCACTAAAACTGCAGTTGGAAAACTTAGAACGCTCACCGACACCTTTTAAAATTGAGCTAAAAATTTTGCCTTGCAGGGAAATTTTTTGCTCGGTATGTATGTTCATTTTAACCCATAAATCCGATAGGTTAGTTTTTTTGGCTCACCCTAATAGACAGTGTATGTAATTATCTTGTTTTCATAATAAAAACATGGTTTTATTAAAATAAATTGTACAATGTCTAATACAAGTGACGATAGTGATAATTATAATAGATCGCCCTTTTTGATTATTTGGCTGAAAAGTGGTCATTTTTACAGACTTTGAAGCGCTGTATCTTCGTTACTGTTCGTTTGATTTGTACAAAATTTTTAGGGTAAACTAACAAAAATACAGTCTTTAACAGCATATTTTAATTTCCTTAAAAAATTCCCTATAAAAGTTTTTTTTCGAGCGTTTTTTTAAATATTAAATAAAAGGGCTTTAAGGATATTTTTTCGAAAAACCCTTGAAAACGTAAACTGAGATATAAGTTAAAGTATTTTTATCCAAAATTTTATAAAGATTGGTAAAGGCGTTTTAGAATTAGAATTTTTTTACTTATTATAATATATGCGTTCATTTTGACGGACAGTGTATCTGCCGCGCTCGGCTGGCTTAGTATGAGAGTAGAGAATAATACCTACCTATTTTATGCCGGGATTTTATTTAATTTATGTTGGATTTAATTTATTAAAATCATTTCGATTTTTATATGTTATATGGATGGTTAAACCATCAAGTAAAAATTGGTCGGAATAAAGAAATTTAAGGAATACATTTTTTAGTTTTATTATTTTTATTATTATATTTTTTAATACAATTATTTATTTTCATTAAATATTTGCTTAAGTAAAACTGCAATTTAAATTAAGGATATTATCATTCGAAACAAAGATTTCTATTAACACAACTCTTATATCCATTACTTTAATTCAACAAAATATTTTGCCACATGAATTATATTTAAAAACATATGTATATGTATATTTAAACCAAATAGGCATTCTATGTATTTATTTGTTAAATAAACGAATTTGTTAAATTGTTTAATAAAGTAAATTATTTTTTTAAAATAAGCTTGGAAGAAATTGTAATTAAATTAAATGTTTAGTAGCTTACAAAAATTATTAATTAGATTTATTAAATATATGTTTAACAATGCAATATAATGTTAGTATGCAGGTAATAATATTTAATTTTAAATCTATAGGTAAAAACAATAAGTGAAACGATGAAGGATTAAGTATGTAATTAGGTAATTACCACAACAACCCTTGATATATACAGATTTTTATTTTGCTTTTATTTATTTGAAAATTCCACACCAAATTGTGATTAAATAATTAAAATTTATTTTTTGATTTAACTCATAGATAATAAATCATATAGATACGCCACTGTCACATATTTGACGCTCCTTGTTACGCACACTCGGCCCGCTATGCCGCTAGTGTACCCGCCTGACATTTATTGGTTTTAGGTTATGATTTTAATTTAGGTTATCCTGTCAAATTTTGACAGTCAAAATAGTAAAAAATAAAAGGCCTGATAGTTTATTTAAATTGTTTATTTGAAAAGCAAAAATAAATGTATTATATTTTAAATTATTCAAGGTATTTACTAAACTAAAACAATTAACAATATAATAATGTATTCAAGTGAATTTTATCTTAAGAACACAAATCAGTATAAAGTAATAATATTATGTACCACATTTGTGTAAGTACCTTGTTTTAATAAAATAGTTATAATTGAATAATACAATACAACCTTGTCATCATTGTGAAAAGTATGCATCATAACTTGACTGTTAGAGCAGCCTACAGCACAGCACAACACCATGTTAATGTTCAAATAATGTAGCAATATATAAAAAATAGAGTACACAGATAACGATAAATCGCAATTATAAAAGTTTTTAAGCGTACAGAACAAACCAAATATGAACAATATGAATATGAATTTACAAAACTTTACAAAATTTATCAAACTGAAGTTTGTTGATTTCGTTACCAAGCAACCGTCAAGATTAACCGCCGCTCCTGCCACATGCAACTCGAGTGTAAACTAAAACCAAAGTCGACTAGACAAAAATGTGGATTTTGTTTGTTTAAGGCGAGTGCACAGGGCATGATTTAACTTCACCTCGACTTTATTATTTAGTTACCATGGCAACTAAGTCAACCCCAATCTAAAAGTTATTTCAGTTTTGAAGCTGTCAAGCTAAAAAAATGTTTCGCTTCGGTCAAGAAAGTAAAGAAAATATTCGCCAGGAGATTAAGCAGTTGACACCCGCGAATACTAGGAAATCGAAGTCAAGCGTATGGAATCAGTTTACAAACTTTTGCGCAGAAAAAGTATGATTTCGACAGAGCGGATATACCTGTAGAAGAACTGGCGCTTATTCTTGAAGACTATGGGTTCAACATGCGAAAGATGAACTCCGAAGATTACAAGGAGAGTGTTATCAAAGTTTTATGGAACTCCACAGCAAAGCAGTTGCAGGAATATTTTTTCGAAAGGTATAATCGCAAATTTAATCCATTCTCTGACATAGAATTTGTGAACGCAAGAGCTGCAAAAAATGCTAAGCGTCGGAAGCTACAAATGGATCCGACCAAGAGAAAGGCAAGTTCATCCGCACTATCAGCAGACGAGTTGAGAAAGATTATTGAGCTTTGGGACGAAAACACTCCGGAAGGATTGCAAAGAAAGTTCTTTCATATTTCTGCTCATGAATTGGCCTGGAGAGGAAATGAAGGAGCGGCAGCAACAATAGAATATTTTGTGGAGGAAATTGACAATCAAGGGGGTTCTCCAAGACCACTCAAGGCGGTTAAAAAAAAATGGCTGACAGTAAGTGGCTAGTACCGAATAAACTCAATGAAGAAATATGCCCAGTTAGACTGTTCAAAAAACTAACAAGCAAGCGAGGCCATCTCATCAAAACCGTTTATTTTTAACTCCAAATCCAAACTGGCAGCACCCCAATTCCAAAGGCTGGTACAAGAACAGCCCGGTTGGACAAAATACAATATCTTCCTGGTTCAAATCGGCGGCATCACTGATTGGAATCGATGTCAACAAGATCAAGATAACAAATCATTCTGCAAGGGCCACTGCTGTTTCAACTTTAGCCAAAACGGGAATTGGAGAACAGCAATTAATTAAAATAACAGGGCATGGTAGCAGCCACTCCATAAAACCATATCTGCAAATAGATTCGGGCCATCATCAGGATATAATTGACGCGATGAGGTCTGTTTCAACTTCTGCAAAGATAATTAAAGAATCTCTAAATCAAGAACAAGCAACTACTTCCAATCAACCTGCCATAGTTTATAATAATTGCGTTTTTCATATAAACAATAATTATAATAGTGAAAATAATATAAGTAATTAGATTTATTATTACCTACTTGTAATCACTTATATTTAAATAAACTCCTAGAAAGAAAGAAAATTTGTTTCGAATTGTTCACGATTATTTGCATCTAAACTATTCTAAGTGTCTAAATATTATAGGTATATATTTTATTAGACATTCCATTCCAAGTCCTGCATTTTCGCCATTAAGAAGAAAGGAGGTGTCCAAAGAATATAGAAAACATCTTAGCTTTGTAATTGAAATGTACTATCGCTAACAAAAAAAACTCATACAGCTTAAAAATCTAGTGTTCCTGATTTTCTATCATTTCGTTGGAGTAATTATGGCTTTTAACATGATACGTCACATTTGAAAGGTCTAAAATTAAATACAAAGTTAGGGTGAAGTTTGAAAAAAAAAAATATTTCGTCATCCCTCTGTTTTTGTCAATTACTGCCCGCAAACGGCAAAGCATGGAAGTTGCCGTCTTGCTTTATCTCGTTCCAAATGGCTTGCCAGAGTTCGTCTGCATTGTTTGGTTGAAAATGTTGTTAAAAAAGTCATAATGGATGTGATGTCAGCTTGACATTGACGGAAAAGTTTTATTCACACAGCCACAATATAGCTGTATGAGTTTTTTTTGTTAGCGATAGTATCAAAATGATCATGTAAACAAATAAAAACCAGATTGTCAACAAAATATTCTGTCATTATAAACGTCAAAAAATTTCCAGTATAATTCGCTGTTGGGTACCCACGAGGAAAAAATTTCCACTAAAATTCAACCGTTGCCATGGTGATCTATCAAAAATACACGTTTTGATTGGTTAAAAATTACAGGTGTGGAATTTTCTTACCGAATACCACACGAGGTCAAATTAAATCCGGAAATTTTTTGACCTCTAGTGGTATTACTAGTAAAATTTTTTATTGAGAACAGAATTGGCAAGCCACACATTCGTAAAGGTATAAAATTATAGCCATTTACGGGAAAAAATGTTTCACATTTCACGTTTCGCCACTGGATGTATAAGTGTGAATTTTGCATATGTTAAAGGCCTTATATGCATTAATATGTGGTCCAAATTGCAAATTAATATCTTTTGTAGTTTTTGTTAAAATTAGTTTTGACCGCAAACGGGTGTGCGTCTTCCTGCTTTTAGTCGCTCCTAAAAATTTTAGTTTTGCTACGATAACGGCCACGCGGTGGCGCTACTAGCTTATAGAATGATTTCTTAAATGGTATTTTAAATGACTTTTCATTGTAGTTTTAAAGTTACATTGTGGGCAATGGTGTATTTTAGATGTGATCATGGTTTTATTGGATTCGTTCAATAAATCCGAATGTTTAACTAAAATATGGTTGTCTAAATTTTGTTTTCTATTACTTTGAAATTGACAGAATAAACATTCCAATTCTTTAATTTTACTATGCGTTTTTGTATGAGTAATTAAATGACTTTTATGAATAGTTTTATAGGGGCAAATTTTACAATCATACCATTTAACATTTTCTAATTTCAGACATACTTTTATGTGAGTTTCATAATTTGTTTTAATAACGGTCGAGTAAGAGCATTTAGTGCACTGATAAATTTTACTCGATATTTTTATATTATTTTCAAATTTATGGTTACTTAACATATGTGCATTCAAACTATATAATCGAGCAGCTACATATTCACAAAATTGGCATTTTAAATAATTCTTTTTATCGTGGATTTTCGAATGAATTTTAAAATTACCTTTTTTTATAGATGCATAATCACATTTGTTACATTTAAATATTTCCTGCTTAAGTTTATTGTGAAAATACTGTTTATGATTAAACAAACGCATCTGTGTTTGATATTTCTTAGGACAAATTTCACATTTATAAAACTTTTCTTTGTCACTTATTTCATCGTATTGAACCCCATGATATTTTACCTCGATTTTCGTCTCAAACATGGCTTCATCTATTCCTTTTTTATCATCTCCTTCAGAACAGTCGCTGTCCCTTCCTTCTTTAATATTGCATGAGTAATCTTCACTTTCACCTCCATGATCAGAATTGACACTTCCTTCATCATTGAGTTTAGATCTAAAATAATGGGTATGTTTAAATATATCTTTGGGGCATAGTTATCTGAAAAATAAACATCAAGACAAAATACTGCGAAAGATTTATTAAAAAGGTTTAATTGATAAGGTCAACATTTGCAATTGCAAATAAAAGATATTAATAATGGCAAAGAAAACCTGGTTGTGGCAACAAAAATCCGAGTCGAAGATTGGTGCCGTGACCAGGATCTATCGAATTTGCTTGGGTTCTTTGGTTTCGACACAGTACACAGTGTCGTTGTCGAAGATACGCTGAGCTTGTTTGATTTTTTTGGTTTCGGCACAGATTGTGGCCGATGCATTGGAAGGTAGGTTAAGGATGACTAAGAGAAGAGTTTATAATTGGTTTAATGTTTTATTCTAATTTGTTTTTTTTTATTTGTATGTATAAACATACAAGGTCACTACAAGAGATGAGCGACAGTCAGTTGTCGGCTGGTCGAGCCGTATCTGGGCATGATGAAGACGAATCGGAAGAAATGTTGTTTGGACAAGACTCAGCTATTTTGCCTCGTCCGAGTGCTGCCTCTGATCCACTGTCACGTCTAGATCTTTCTGCGACCCTTGTTCCTGATGAGGTTATTCCTGCGACCCACGTTCCTTCTGGAGTCATCTTGGCTACAAGTAGTCCTGTCGGGCCCATTTCTGCTATTAGTAGCTATGCTAGGCACGTTCCTGCGGTGCTCATTCCTACCGTCAGCAATACTGCAGACCACGTTCCTGCTGCCCGCCTTGGTGCTAATTTTGTTCCAGATGAAAACGCGCGCTTACAAGCCCTAAACCTAGAAATGGCACAGCTGAAGGAAACAATGAAGATGCAGACCACATTGCTGCAGACATTGATCAACCGGATGGATGGTTCAGATTCCAGTACAAGAATGGGTTCTACACGAGAGGGGCACCCGTTACCATTGTCTGGTACCATGTGATGACCGTTTGGGAACGACAACCTGAAGAACGGAATTGCAGGGGGACCTTGTCGACTCAGCTGGTTCAACTCCTGAAGTTGAAAGGATGCCCTAGATTCCTACAGACTCTTCGCCATCTTCGCCTGTGTTAAACCGCCATTCATCAAATGAGAAAATAAAGCCTAGTAATTGTCATTTTTGTGGGCTATAAGAACTCTAGGTAAGGTAAATACATTTTTTTATTAACATATTTAGTGGGGTAGTAAATTTTTAACTGTTATATTAACATGATATTGTTGTCTATCATTGGGTGTACTAAAGGGTCAAGAAAATCAGACATGTAGGTTCTTTGTAGAGTAAGAGCGTGTGTTTTTTTTATTCTGTCTAATTAATCAAACTGTGGTATGAAAGAGCCTAGGATGTATTTTATTAAACACACGGTGTTTAATAAACGGGCGTTATTCGGTATTTGGTTTGTTATTATAGATACTTGATTACAAATGGACGGCTTTCTGCAGAGGGGCATCCAAATATCCTTATTTTTTTTCCTTTAATTCCTTACGTAGAAAAATATAAAAATAAACCAATAAAAAAAAAATAATAAAAAAAACCCTTAAGTCCAAAACCTAAGGGTGACTACACAGCAAACGAAAAATTATAGAAGTTTATAGGATGACTCCGCGTTTGAATATCAAATCTTAAAGTTTTATCATAACTGTATTGAATCGTGCTTTGTTTTTATATTTTTCGGCTCTATACCTATGCACGACTATATTTAAAGTCAAACTCAATGGTGTCTTACAAGATACATTATTTTGATTTTCTATATTCAACAGAGGAGTAGAAACTCGACCCTGTCGAATGGTGCAGTCATATATGTCTCTAGAAATTATTAAAAAAGGGTTCAGTCCAATGGTGCAGCAACTTCGGATTCCTATTCTCCTCAGAGACATAGAAACTCAAGCTTTTCGAATTTTACTGGCAATGATTTTCGTTAATGTCCCCGAGAATTATACAAAAACAGCGCAATGCAATATCGCAACGGTTTCGACTTCTCTTTACTCTACCAAGTTATAGAAACTGGAGTCTCTCTAATACTGTTCTAGTCAATATTTCTGAGAGTATAAAAAGAGGGTGTAATATTGCAAGAAGTTTTGATCTTTTGATGGATGAATTTTCTCATTTCTCCATATGATTTTGTTGAAAATAGTTCCTTTCTTTGGTTCCTTTGTCTGATTTTTATTTACCGTAACAACTCAGGTATGTAAAGCACAGAGGATATGATGTTAAGTATATTTATGTATTATATAAAGTACCTATATTTGTATTAAAAATTTAAGAGGTTATGTTGAAAAATGATCGATATGCTATTAAACTTTAATAATTTAGTAATTAGGTCTGTTGGTAGACCCTGCACTATCTCCACTGGTATAGTTTTGTAATATTTAAATCTGGTTGATGAAAAAGTACACACCAGTGCAGGTTATTGTAGCATCTACGAACAAATGAATTAATGGCCCATTGGCAATTATTCCTTTAGGAAAAATATTCAACACAGCTTAATTAATTAATAAAATGAAAAAAATCACAATCATGTCGTACCTATATAGTTTTTTTTTTAAGCATAAAATAATTTTTATATTAATACTAGCTAGTTCAAAAGTGAAATTACGACCTCTATACTGTGGAGAGTATTGAAACGCTCGACTGACGAATACCACTCTATACCGTAGGGAGATTTAGAAATCGATATTCAAACGTGGCGTCATCCTATACACCTCTATAATTTTCCGTTTGCTGTGTAAGGTCAGCTTAAGAATGGGTATAGTTTTAGTGATTTTTTTTAGCTATGAAGTATGAATGATACGAAAAGTGCTTTGCGTTATGGAAGTGAATTGAAAGTGGGGTTCGATTTATTAGATGGACGGTTTGTTAATTATAAAATGTAACTTATATTCACTTGTAAATATTACTTTAGAGCTTACAGGTTTAAGATTTGACTATTTTTGAATGTGTACCTTAAAGCGTACAGTTTTGGGAATGTTATTTGGGTTGTTTGGGATGTTAAGTTATTTGTGTTGAGTAATTTGTGTTGTTGGAATGTTAAGTTATTTGGGTTGTTGAGGATGTTTGGGTTGTTTGGGTTGTCTGGGATGTCTGGGATGTTGAGTATTTGGTTTGTTTGGGATGTGGATAAGATAATAGGGGCGAAGGTTTTTTTTTAATACTTGTATTCAAATTTTGTATGTAAGAAGTTCATTAACGCACGCGTTTTTCTCTGCTTTTAACCAATCAAATAAAAAAGTCAAAATGTCAAAATAACCCCCCTGATAGCAAAATTTGATTCTAAGAATCTTCTAAGAAGATATGACCCGGAATAATGGAATATTCTTAGAACCTTCCCTTATTGCTAAGAATGTTCTTAGGGACTTTTAAAACATTCAATAGATACCATTTTAATGATGCAATTAGATTCTTAGAAGCTTCTTAAAACCTTCCTAAAAAGCATCCTAAGAACATTTTAAATATACGTTTTTGGAATGTTCTTAGAAGGTTTCTTATGGAGCTTCTAGGAAACTTTTGAGAATATTTCCAAATATGTCATATACCCACGTTCTAATATGTTGGATTCTACATTCGTAAAATTCTTCAGGAGGCGGCAAATACGCCTCACTGTCATAATATGACACTGAAATGTATTTGTCGTCCCCTTAAAAAAATTTGCGACATATTAATATATATTTATTTAAAAATATTAAATAAACAATTTGACCTTTAACATAAAATAAAATATAAAAAAACAAAATATTTCCTTATAAAATAATTCTTCATAAAAGAAAAAACCAAATAGTTCTTCATAAAAAAAAACATTTTTCATTGTATTTGAGTTGGATAGAAGATTTTATGTAAAAGCCGGATAATTTAGATACCTATACTGCCCTACTATGGAGAAAGGCAGTAACTACAAAAAAATGCAAAATGCGTTTTCTTGTGCTATGGTAAAACTATGGATATTTTGTATCCGAATTCAACACAGAAATGCAGTCAAATATCTCATAAGTTAAAAAAATCAATTAAATTCCTACTGCTTTTTATAAAAATGTAGTTTATGCTAATTTCCCACAAATTTCTTGTTTAGCAGTTACTGCCTTTCTCCATAGTAGGGCAGTATAGTAAAAGTATTTTTGATATCGAATATTGTTTTAATTTGACAAATAACTATAAAAAATATTTTGGGTTGTGTTTTTTACTTAGTATTTAATACAAAGTATAGGTAGATTATGGTATATTTTATTATTATATAGGTACCTAACTGAACTGAATATGCTTAACAGAATGTTCCAGGAATATTCCTAAATGAACTTTCTATAGCAATTACTTTCTCAACATTCTAAGCATATGTTTAGAGTGGATTAATTTTTACCACTAAACTTTGCACCTTCTAAGAACCTGCCTATAGGCCAGTGAGAATATTCTTAGGATTATGCTATATTTCTTTTAAGCATGTTCTTTAGAAGAAATATAGCATGATGCTAAGAATATTCTCACTGGAAGGTTTAAAAAACATTCTTAGAATAAACTGTGCTATCAGGGCCTAAATTAAGTTTTAGACAAAAATAATTACCGTTTATTTTTTTATTTAGAGGCGTAGATAAAAATTTGTACAATATACGTGTGATAACGCTTTATTGTTGAACATTTTTTGTCTCTTATAAAATTTTGATAAATTTTATTAAAATGATTTGTTTTAGAGATAATTTGTAAAGTATGGGTCATTCCATATCAAATTTTCGAAATTTAATTTTTTTTTGAAAAAATTTAGGTCATGTGATATATCATAAAAAAGGTCTAATAGGCCTTTAAAATAAGCCACCACTCACATTTCTACTTTTATAGTTTACGAGATATCGCTATTTTTGTAAGTACTTGCAAGACCCAAATTTATCGGAATTTTTTGATTTTCAAAAATCAATAAAACAAAAACCACCTATCGAAAAAAATTCATATATGGAATGAGTTTTTAAGTGAGGTAAACAAATTTACCAAAAATTATCAAAATCGGAGATGGTGGGGGAAGAACCTTTGGTTGATTTGATATGGACTGACCCATACTTTACAAATTATCTCTAAAACAAATTATTTTATCAAAATTTTATAGGAGACAATTTTTTTAAACAATAAATGATTACCTGAAAAAATACCGTTTGGAAGTCATTGGCGCTCGTACTAAAAAATAGGGGGAGTCAGTGAGTACTGGACCTCCCTATTTTGATTATTTGACAATTGTTTTTTGTTTTGTTGGTCTCCAAAAATGTAACTATTTATGTTGAAGTAGTGTACCGAATTTAAACTTAATATCTTATCACTTACTCAAATTATTTAAAAAAATCAGTTTTAAATTTCAAACTTTGTCGCCCTGTATATCGAACATAAAGCTCTAAATTGAAAAATGGTATTATGAAAGTCTTATTGTTTTAACTCAAGGAATATATGGTTAACGGATTGACCTCCTTTTCCCGGACACCCTGTATAATATAATTATGTATTACCCCCTCCACTTTTTTAGGTTTAAATACTAATATTTTTTTACAAGTTTGTTTATTGTTTGTTTAGTTTTATTAAAGAGAATATGTCTTTATTTTATATAGCTTACGACATTGCTAAACCTTTAACAATTCGAGATATTAATAGATTAGTACAATGTTTTCCACTACTCCATTTCAAGATTTACATGATTTAGAAGAAGAATGGTATGCAAGTATGAACGATTTTTCATCCTTTGTACTGGAAGAACAGTTGGTAAAAGAACAAAAACATCAGAAGAGCACAAATGTTCAACAATATGATGAAAATACGGAAATGGAATACAACATTGAACATGACAAATAAATATTTAGATTTTACAAAAAGTATATAAATTTTTTATTAAACATTTTAAAATAAGTTTTCTTTTAATTTATTCCTTTAGTTAGTAGTAATAGTAGTTTAGGGATTTAACAAAATAAAACAATATTTATTAAAAATATATAAATATATATTTTTAAAATAACATATAATAATAATAAAACAAATTTGAATATTTTAAAAATATTTTATGATAAATAAATTCGAATTCTTGCTTCAATATTATTTAGTGGAATTGCACAATCGACACAAGTTACCGTATGCTTGCAAGGAAAAAAAACTATTGATATTTCATTTTTATAACATATTTTACATAAATTTAAATCATCACTGTTTTCAATAGACTCGTCTTCTACTTCTACATTTCCTAAATCTGGATAGGGCATTTCAGGTCGGGTAACTGGATCATTAATTATTTCAGATATATCATTTACAGTTGGTGGTGGTTGTGGTGGTGGTGAATCATGTATTATTGAAGAAACCATTTCATCTATAAAGTTATCTCTTAATTTTTTAATATATTCAGTACCTATTTTTAATTGTAGAAAAGTACAATCCGGATTATATGCTGCATGTTCTTCCGAACGATCGTCAATGTTTAACCATCCCTTTAAATCCAATCCACATTGAAAACAAATAACACGATCTGATAATCCATTATAGAAAAAACCTGCACTAGCCATATGATGAGGTTGTTGATCGGTGGTAAGTGGCCAATCTTTAATGAATCCACACGTATTTGATTTAATGCAAATTCAGGATGCTTTATTGTTTTTTCTTAATTATATCAGGAAAAATATTATCTTCGGTAACAGAGTTTGGAAATATTTCAAAATTATTATTTTGGTTTTCCATTGTGTTGTCTTTTTATAAGTTTTTATGATCACTAAAACAGCTTTGTTAATTCTTACACTTACAAACACACATTGCAAATTGAAAATAAAAACATAAAACTTATTTTATATTTACCCTTTCCACTTCACTTCCAGTACTCGAGTTTAAACTTGTTTATAGAGATAATTTTTTTAAATCATAAATTAATTTCCAATATGTTATTTTCTTTTGTAAATTAATTTCATTTTCCACTAATAATCGTTTTAAAACAACCAGTCTTCTTAAAATTAAATTATTACGACAAATTTTGCATCTTTTAACTTGATTATATATTTTTTGAAGAATTCATTTTTTTATTTAATGTTATATGTTGAAAGATTTAACAAAAATAAACTTTGCAAAAACGGTAAAGCTTTTATATATTTATAAATATATACAATGTTTTTTCATACCTCTTTTGATTTCTTAAACAAGCATTTTTACCCCTCTACCTCCCCACTTTAAAACCTTTTACTTTTAAATAATTATAATATTTTACTTACCTTTATATAAATACACACATTATAATTTAAAAGTAACTTGTAAGTTACTAATTTTAAAAGGTTTATATTATACAGGATTAATTAATATAGGTAATAATAATATTTTTTTTTGTTTGAAGAATTAATTTTTATATTTATGTTATATGCATATATGCCAAAAGATTTAACAAAATATACTTTGCAAACTGTAAATCTTTTATATCTACAATCTTTTCCATACCTCTCTTGATTTTTTAAACAACTATTTATTTTTACACATCTACTAATTTTACTAATTTTTACTTTTAAATAATTATAATATTTTACTTACCCAATATTAATTTATATGCACTAAATATTTATAGGTATATACATATATATATATATATATATATATATATATATATATATATATATATATATATATATATATATATATATAAATTTATTTAACAGGATTAATTAAAACATTAAATATTTTTAAAACTTTATTTTTTATAAATTATAAAACCATATGTATCCTTTGGTCCACGCTGGGTGGAACCAATCATCCAGGTAACTATCCTCACCCCATCTTTCTATCTTTCTAAAAATCAAAACAAATCGAATTGAGTGAAGTCGTCCTGCCATTCTTCAGGATCCTGCAGCTTATACAAATACAAATAATTTCTCCTTAAAAGAGGTAAAGTTGGCAGCACGATTTTAATCCTTAATAAATAATAATTATTATTCTTTAACAATAGTACCTGTTTTAAAGGAACCTTTCACACAAATTAGAACTTTTTAAAACAGCACAGATAAACAAAACTCCAAAAGTAAACACAAAATCCTTTTGTCAAAATGACAGTTTTAACTACTATTAATGTAGGTGTATACTAAATTCGGTTGTACGAACTTAACGTTGACACCGCTGATCTAAGTTCAACAGAACTGCTGTTGAGTCGACATTGAAAAACTCATTTGACTGTGAACTGAGTTCATTAACTGATTTAAGTTCCCCTGAACTAAGGTTTAAACCATAATTGAAAAACCGGCCCTAAATGGTAACAGCTTACCCTTGGTCGAGCAATGCTTCTTCAAATTTCAGTTTTGCTGGCTTGCCTCCATCAATATTGTCTTCCCCATCAATGGACGTTTCTAAATCTTCTTTTAACCCCAATATATTGTAGTCCATTAAGTTGTAGCTATCATCCAATTCTTCTTTAATATCTTGTTTTATTGCTATCCCAGAGGTTGACAGCATTTCTTGGTCAAAAATATCACCTTTGATATTGTCGACTAGTTCTTCAGCAGAGACATATGCATAGATTTGTCTCTGTTCTTCGGGTTCTTTTTTAACGACAATTTGATCCATCGAGTATGTAAATAATAGGTACTTTGGCAACCTATAAAAAACAATGAAAAACTTTATACCTAAACCCTATAAACAACGAATAAACGTATATTTACTTACTTCGTTAGTGTTTTTACACTAAATAATCAGAAACTCGTACAGCTACTTTCAAGAACACTGCAAAAAATAAACGCATATTTGCTTAACAGGGTTGCCAACTTTTTGAATTCGATAGTCCCAAGATACATACACGGATAGTCCGTACCCACATATTTAACCTATGTGTCCGTACCGCGTAATTCAAATTACCGTACTATAGCTCGCAGGATCGTACTTACTAAAAGGGGGGCGAATTTTTGGAATAAAAAGGGTAGTAATATTTTGTGAAAATTATAAATATTTAAAAAAAGTTGTTTATCTTTAAGAAATAATTTATTAAAAAAATTTAAGAAACATAACAATATATATGTATATTATAAAATACATAAAAAAGTAAAATACATATTACAAAAAACGCCAAAAACAAAATCATCATCTATGTCTATAGATATGTAATACATATTATGTCTATATGATGATTTTGTAGTGTTTGCTGAGTCTCTCCCACCTTAATGGTGTAGGTTCCCGTTCCCGTTACCGGGCTGTTGTGCAGCGGGCTTGAATCACCCTAATCGTCCAACTTTAGTAAGACGACGCGCTTCACCAGAGGTCAGTGAGCGCCATGAAACTTATAAAATAATAAACATATACAAATTTTTATCATAAGTTTTGTACATTTTTAACTTAAGTTTTGTAAATATATTTTTAAAATTTAGAATTTTTGCTTAAAATTTGAATGTTGGGAATACCGTACTTTTTACGTACGCTAATGGTCCCTACACCGTACAATTACCTGAAATTACCGTACATGTACGGTAACTACCGTACGATTGGCAAACCTGTTGCTAAATGAATAAACGTCAAATGCAGTTTTGCCAACACTTAAATTTTTTTCCCCAGTGATGTTAAAAGCCTCTGCAATAAAAATAAATTGTAATGTAACTTATGTATTGTAAAAAATATTATTAAATATTGATAAATGAAATTTATAGCTGTGACTTGTCTGTATAATATATATTATGAAGGGTCTCTAGTAAACCGCTGTACTGCAACGTCGCAACTAAATCGCAGTGCTGCCAAAAAAAGTTTTATTGCAATATTGAATTATTTTTTTGGCTTGTTCCAACAGCAATAGTAACATTAGTTGATAAAAATTAATAAAGTTCGTTTTTTTTATTCGGAATTTGACACATTTGATTACAGGGCCGGCGACAATAGCGGTGCTCGCGGGCTCAAGCACCACACGTAAAGGAAAATGGTGGTGCACGCTCAGCACCACACGTATCTTCAGCAGAAAAATTGCATTTCTTTTGCGGTCTCTAAATTTTTTATCCTACTAGCCTGGGATACACACCAACACCCTCTAGAAATTTTCGGTTGAAGCTGAGGAATCCAAAGTCTAACCCTGGTTTAAAGTATCAAAGTAGTAGGAATAACCCAGATAGCACACAACGTCTTGAAGATGTCTTTTGTATGTCTGTATTATGCCTGAACGTCTGAAGATCTAAAAAAGACGTCTAAAAGATGTCTTTTGATAGACGTCTTAAAGATATCTTCATTTAATGTCCTAAAGACATCTTATAAACGCCTGATAACGCCGCTTATTTTTTTTTTTCATTTTTTTGGTAAAATATACTTAAGACAGCAAACAAAGTCTTGAAGATCTAAAGATCTAAAAAAGACGTCTGAAAGACGTCTTAAAGATATCTTTATTTAATGTTCTCAAGACATCTTATAAATGCCTGATACCGCGGTTTTTTTTATTTTTTTGATAAAATAGTAAATGTTGACAAATCAAAATCGAAATTATATCCCATAATCAGCGACTTCATATGTAATAGAAATAACTTTAATGTAGGATTTTGAGTTTTGACAACGATTATGGGTAGGGTAACTAAATAAATATATATATGACATTTTTGTTGATTGGTTATTTTTCCTACAATTAATAATATCCATTTTATAATAAACCATTATAAACTAACATGTTTTTAAAAAATTAAGTATTAAGACTAAATAACCTTAAAATAACCCAACGAACGTTTTTAAATCAAATTACCCGCATATTTCCCATAATGCAATGAAATCATAAGTCACGCCATGAGATCCTTATGCTTTCCTTTTCTATTTCACCAAGCGCTGATATGTCTGCCTCTTTTCAATTCTTAAATAACTCGTACCCACAATCCAATGTGGATTGTGCTCGTAGTACGAGCCTTGTACCTAACTATAAATGCAGATTGCAAAGATCAGACGCCATTTTTGCCGCTTACGTCAAATTTGGTTAAATAGCTAATCGTGGCGGTTTTTCGTTCTCGTTTGACGTTTAACTTAAGTGACAAGTAAAAGCAGTGTGCAGTGTTGTAACCAGGGTGTTCCACCCTGGTTGTAACAACACTGTTTTTGGATTGTTTTTGTGAATTTGTTGTGGTTTAATATACTCAAGAGGGAAAATTATTCAGGTAATTTTGAAATGTTTTCTTGTGTGCTTAAAATGAAGCGTACATCTCTCAATAAATATTATATGCGTGCAAAGAGGGCCGCCAATTTAAAAAGACCCTCACTAGAAGATATAGAAAAGCATGTTTTACATTCTCCCGCCATTGTGTCTAACGGTGAGTGCTGCACTTTCACTATACCTAGTGACTCGCCGTCTGATGTTGAGCAGGATTCTTCCAACATTTCTATTCCAAATATCGAAGGAACCTCGAAAGGTCTAGGAAAAGACACCAAAGAGGTGGAAGTTGCCATACAGGCTTGGTTAAGAAGGGCTTCAGACAGTAGGCTTCTTCTTGCCAAGAAGTTTTAAATCGATTTAGGCAGAAATAAATATGTAATAATTTAATTTTTGTTTTATTTTAAATAGAAGTACCTATACGTTATTTTTAGAAGTTAAAAAGCATTATTAGCTACATTTTAATTACTTAATAGTATTAAGTTAATACATTAGAAACGTTTTGGCGATGTAGCAATGCATAACCAAAACGTTTTCAATAGGTAGTCTTTAACATCTTAAAGACGTCTTAACGGCGTTTAGCCACGACTTAATAATGCCGTTAAAAAGACATCTTAAAGACGGTGTGTTTTGTAACATTAGATATCTTAAAGACGTCTTAAAGATGACTTACGTCGTAAACTGGACGTCTTAAAGATGTCATGAACGTCCGAGTCCGACATCTTTAAGATATCTTTAAGATGTCTCTGTGCTATCTGGGAACATACCGACACGTCGCGACGTGTATTTAGGGTATTTATTCTATACCGACGGTAACCGACCAAACTTTCAATTGAGTTATATTAATATATATATGAGGAGCTACTCTGCAAAACGCAGTTTTTGAAAAAAGTATTTTTTTCAGGGTAGAGAAATCTTTGCTACATACTTAATTAAGAAATTTGAGTTTTTGTAAAAAATGTAAAAATTAAAGAAAAATGCGAAAATTCCATACAAGTTCGTTGTCAAAATATTGTTTTTTTCTTGCCGTTACTGTATCTCTTTAAAAAAATAGAAACTACATTTTGAACTGAACACCCCAAAATACTGAGGGGTTTGCAACGAAATTTACTTATAAATTGCGACCTGCTTAAAAAATAAACATTAATTTTATTTAAAAGGTAACTAGTAACAAAAAATTAGTTAATTAAAAAAAAATTCTTATATTTAACTTAAAAAATATTAAGGGTATTAAATTTTCAGGCGAATGTCTACTTCGTTGCAATCGCAGATCAAGTTTTCTTCATCTACCCCTTCTTCTTCCCCGGTTGCAACATTGTTTTGGTTATCTATTAGATCTGCATACCATTTTAGATCTCCTACTTCCCTCCAATTAACTTTATTGCCAGCTTCGTTTCTTCCATAGGATTTTTGTAACAAATTGTCAATATCTTTTTTTTTCTTCTCTTTAATGGGTCTACCTAGTTTAACTTTATTTAATTTTAAATTGAAAAGTGATTTTCCAGGTCTAAGGCAGAGTTTTGGTTCATTTAGGTCGTTTTTATAGAAGTTCTCGAATTTTAAAGTAACTTTTCCAGAATCGGTTTTTTGTATTAAAATTCTCTTCGATTCACGAATATTATCAAGTTTTTTGAAAGTAGAATTTAGCTGTTTTATGTCATAAACATCCCAATCAGTTCCCAAAACTTTCACTGTCTCTATTTCCGAAAAAATGCTCCAATAATCTTCTTTTTTTTTAAATTTCTTCTTTTTTCCTCGTTTTCTTTTCAATTCTTCCAAAAACTCGATCCGCAGGTAGAAATGAGTGACCCCTTACTGGGAAAAATAAGATAACTTTTTTGATACTATGTGGGGCTTTATTGTTAAGCCAGTATGTCAGAATATTGATCACATTCGAATTTTTGTTTTGTCCAGAACACCCATCACAAAACAGTCTTATAACTTCACAATCTTGAGTTAGGTAAGCGTTCATAAGAAAATTGTATACTGCCGATCCTATCTCGTTTGAGCCTCTATTTGCCTGAGTCTCCAACCAGGTGTAAAACACAGGATCAGAGGTTTGCCTATCAGTAACACAAAAATTATACAAAGAAAGTTGAGTTGCATAGAAAGCCTCTTGTATCGGGACTTTGGGAAGAACTTGTACTTGCTGAAGATCAAAACACACTGTAAAAGTATTTTCATCATTTTTTTTTCATTAATAGGTGGTATTGCTTAGCAGATAATTTATGCAGTCTTGATTTGGTCATGATTTCCATTTTCTTTGCTGGATTCGTTGCCATCTTAAGCTGGTTTTTAAGCTGATAGCAATAACTACACACGTCGGTAGCTGGCGAACCAAATCCTATGTTAAAATCTTTTCCAAAGATCCCATAAAAAAAAAAGTTTTTTTCACTTTTAAATTGAGATCAGCAGCAGAATTATACATTTTCCATAATTTTAAAATGGAGCAATCCGACGGTAAATAGATTCGTTTTGATTTTTCTCTGTTATAATGCGATTCAGTTGCATTCAAATTTCCAAGAAAATCACGCACAGCTTTTCTTCTTTCACGTTCCTTACCGGCGATCATTTTTTTAGCAATTATTATAACACGCCTTTGTGTGATGTTAAGTGCCTTAGTAAAAAATTTTTGACAAACAAGGTGTCTTTTT